TGTTTGTTGTTTAACGCCACACTCAGCAATGTTCCATCTATATGGCGATGGTCTCTAAATAATCTAGTCCGGACGAGACAATCCAGTGATCAACAGCATGAGCATCGATCTACGCAATTTGGACAAATGAGGGTGTCAACCAAATCAGTGAGCCTGACCACCCGATCCCGTTAGTCGCCTTTTACCGACAAGCATGGGTTGCTGAAAATCAATTGTAACCCGGATCTTCAATGGTCTCAGTCACGTCATATAATGAGCGAGCTCTACATGGTAGATTCTACATTATCAAACAATATTTCCTCAATAATTGAATATGTTTATTAATATGCTTATAATAAATGTGAAACATGATATATTTAACCCATTACCTGTGAAGATGAGGGGTGAAGGATCTGAAATAAAAGATTAAGGTTGCAATCTAAGACAGTAGAGAGCAAACAGTGCACTCCCATGACTTGCTTGGATCGTGGAGAGCGACTCCTTCCGCTCATTTCGTAAATGTTAGGCGTGACACTTTGTTAAGGGTAAGTGTTTTATCCGGAATGTTATTCATGAATTCGATTAATCATTCTTATTTCTACGCTGAAGGGAGTATTGGAGTATTGTACACAAAACCATCATGGGGGTGGGGGTCAAATTTGGGAGAAGTACATCATTCCTATTTATTGTCACATTCTTTATGCTGCAATGTTGGACAAAAGAGAAATTTAATAAACACATCGCCTCCATTATGTAATCTGCAAAAGATAACAGACTATATAGTCGTGCATACAATCAAAAACGTGTCCTTGCGACTGGTTGTAGATTTGAAACAGTTCCATTCACAGTTTGAGGTTCCAGCCGTGTATAACAGTGAGTGAAACTGCCTGATAAGGCCATATGTAGGGCAATGCCACAAGACAATCTGTGAGATAACCCATTTAACCAGCAAACACCCACATACCCTCCATTCTACATACCAGGCTAGGTAAATATTGGACTTTCCACACTGACAGTCAAGCTCTGTTTGGATAAGGACAAGTGTATGTAGTACTATGTAGCTTAGGACTAGGCTTTATTGCATTCATGTTCAGACAACGTTTCATCTTTGAGACCTCAGTTCGTAAGTCAAAATTATTGACACGTATCGTAGAAGTGATGTCCACTGTGGGCGACGGTTAGGTCAAACGAACTAGCGAACTGACCAACCGCTTTTCTTGTTTCACGCCGCACATAGCATTCTTCCAGCTAACTTGCAGCTATCTGTAACTAATGAAGTCGTGGATCTACGCACGACGTCATGTTATGTCGGCAAGCCAGACCACCCGGTTAAGATACCACTATCATGCTAAATAATCAAATATCCTCATTCTTCCCTTGGAACACTGGAGTAAGACAAGGTGAAAATCTCTCACCACTTCTGTTTTCACTTCTTATAATTGATATTGAGCCATTTCTGCTGAAACGAGGTATTAATTTAGATTATAAAACCGAAATCGATATAATACTTTGAATGCAGGTTATTGTTTTGTTATATGCAGATGATGCTGTCTTATACAGTGAAACCCCTGTAACCTACAACATTGACTTGACGATTTTCATAGGTATTGTTCACGATGGAAATTGAACGTAAACTTGTCCAAAATCAAAATAGTTTGCACAGAAACGGGTAATTTGTAGAAGCCATCATTTTTATATAGACACTGCAACCAAAGCTATGTTCTACCTATTAAAAAAAAGCACGCAATATCAATTTGCCGTTGGGTTGTTCAATGTCCGCATTTGACCGATCCTAATGTATTGTTCCAAACTCAGGGCATTTGAAAACATTAAACTACTTGAACAAGTTAATTTAGAATTTCTTTAACCTGGCAGCAGGTTTGAGAACTCGTAAGGAAACCCCTCTAGATCAGAATGTACAAACGTTTTATTATACTCTGGCATAACATGTCCACTCATAGTAAAGCTCCAAACTTAACAAATATTATCTATACATTTATCACTCATAACTACGCTGGCAGCAGAAAACCTTTGTTAAGAAAATATATGACTGCCCGTTAATATGTACATCACGGTTATCTTTGTAAGAAGAAGAACTATTCAAAGACCAGTTCCTCTCTGAGAGTTCTTAGGGTCTGTGCTGCGAACTATAATGTTCAACAGAACTGTTGAAAAATATCTCTATCCACTTACAAATGTCTTTCACCCGATCTTGAAATTTAGAACCACAAACCTTAACTTACTAGTTTAAACCAGACGCTGGTCTGATATCCCAGGAGTGTAAGGTTTGTACAGTTTATTTAGTTCTCTCGCGGTTGGTGACGAGTTGGTCCACTACCTTTTCAGGTAGTTTCGGTCTATGTACATACCTAAAGATCTCTATGAATCACCTAATATGTATAAGTTGAAAACAATGTTTATCCAGTACTAGAGTATAACATATAAAAAACATGTCTAAATCCAACAATACCATTGTTAGAAATGCAGAAGCCGTTCAAACCGTAAACGAGATTAATGTTAAGGTAACCTTATTTCATTGAAACTCACAGTCTCTATCTTGATGTTATTATGATATATGAATCTATACTATACTTTATTTCTCACGTTGGTGAGGTTTTCCAAGAATAAACTGAACTGTAGAACTGATAGTCTCCACTATTGGCTACCGATGAGACCGAACACGCATTGCTTTCTTCACTAGTCAGTGAATCGATCTAAGAAATGTTTGGTTTAGCTATTTGTGTAGTGCACTAAACTATAGTTTAAGCAATGTTTGGTTTACCTATTTGTGTAGTGCACTAAACTATAGTTTTACTGTAAACTATTATAGTTATAGCACGTGGACGTTTACTGGATAACAGTTCAAGGGAAACTATTCATGATTTACAAGGTGTTGCGGGTCAAGTGGAATACTTCTTTTTGTTTATCTTGGGTCTGTCAAACGACACTTGAAACCATTTCACAATCTCATCTTCTCTATGTGACAGACTACCGTAATAACCAGAAACAAACTGACCGTTGATAACCGTGTTTTGTCATCATCTATTTTTATAACTCTAACATGATTAGTCTTGTAAAATACACTGTTAATATATACATTTATGGATGTGAAAGTAAGTGGAGGTATTAACAAATGTTAATTGTCTCGTTTTGTGTATTTTTTAATCAAAACTCATCGATCACTTTTCTGAACAAACCCCAAATCAGACCGAAATGTTATCCTGTTGAAAATAGTACATTCTTAGCCCATCCTAACTAGAGGGTTGCTTAAATTTCTCGTGTAAACGATTTAACTTCACATTTCTATTTTGAATGCATGGACAAGATTTCTGCTAGATGTCTGAGGTTGTCATTGTGACATTTGAACAATGATCGCACGAGGACATGAATCAAGGCATATGTCAAGTGTCACCATCACTTTGCATTTCTATGTAACCACTAATGAATATATCCGCATGGGCCGACCCTTCACTGTTGCCCACTCATCCTACATTCGCTCCGCTAACTAGACGTCGCCGTGTAATTACTCATTCGACTTTTAATTGTATGGTAAGTACTACTCCATTGTATGTTCACGTACAGCCGCACTACAGTTGCAAGATATATCTGTACCTGCATTCAGTCCAACACTGCGATGAATGTGAGGGGCTTGGTCCTTGGTCTAGTCGTTCTTACGTCGCCGGGCGATTCCTCACCTGCCTTCTTTAACATAGCACTAGAGTCACGTGACTGACCAGGTCAACTCTTTTCAACTCTTAACACGAGATGTGGCCTTGGAGACACGTTTTCAGTTTCCGCTTAAGTAGACATTCCATTTGTGACATAATTTCAACACGTTTTGGTACTTTAATCCTCCAGTGAGGAAATAATTGCACAACATAACCTACTTGGATGAATGTAGACGTCTTGTTACTGGTTATATTAACGTTGATCTAAACAAAACACTACACTAATGCGTGACATCGTGTACGTAAGTATTCTGTATTTGGTTGCTCCTTTTAAGTAATATAGAATTATGGAAACAAATGTCTATTGATATAAAACAAAAACCCATCTTACTAGATTTTTAACTAAGCACATTGAGTGATATAAACAACACGGATATTTATCCAATGTAAAGGCGGTAATACACTTCCGTACATCTTACAAAAGTGCATTAATGATTAAAACCTAACTAGAAAAGTAATGTGACTTTTAAAGTTCCAATTGATTTAATCCTGTCACACCGGTATTCCCCCGACTAGCTGTTACTTTCTCCATGTAGTGGTTATACGTTAACAGTAAAGGCAAGATACTTTATGAATGACAACATTTGTATTCTGTCGTGATACGACGTTTTGATATAATAATAGATCCTTATCTGAAGAAATATATTGAAACATACTTCACCAGTCCCACGCCTCTTAAAATCCTACTTCAAGTGGTTGGCAGAAACACTTCTAAACGTCAAGACGCCAACGGTCACAAAATCGGTTGTGGCGTATGTAGATGAAACGTCCCTCATATACAGTTGTCTTCCTTCTATTGTTGCTATCCCATTAAGCATACACATATTCTCTTGCTATTAATCATTAGATGTATGTACGCCCATACACTACTTCACTCTTGTTTCACGACGGTATCGGGATCCATGCAAAAACGTCGCAGCGTAATAGAATAACGAAGTTATCCATAAAAAGGTTTGCCTTTTCTACTACGTAATAAAATCTACTCGTTCAACAATGAAAACAAAGAAGACGTTGAAAGTAATCAAATATATTATCAAGTCCACGTGTCATTGGGAGCAATCATAAATTAATCTCTTCAAACAAACAACATATAAATGAAGGGGTCGAATCTGCCAAATGTTAATCTTTTTCACCAGTTGTTATTTATAACACCTGTATTATGTGTATAAGGGAAACTGCAAAAGATATGTTCACAAGTAAAATATTGATGGCAATATTAAACAATGTATGTGGTTGAATCGAGCTGTTTTCGGGAGCTATACATATATTTATTGTGTTTATTCTTCATTTCAGAGTTTGGTTATAAATCACAGTCAAAATGGCCTTCATGTCAAGCAGAATCGTAAGTATGATTAAAGAACACATCTGGTAGTTCCACAGAAAAACCATATGGTTATGACAGTGGCAGTTTGATATGTGACCTGGAGTGGCTGGCTTGGTGTGTTATTGTACCCTCAGACTAGGCAGTCTTCACACTATCAACCACAGGTGTTGAACCATGGTTGTTGAAAGATTCCTTTTATTTTTGTTTAAGTTCGAGAATACGTGTTTGATTGCAGTGGAACTGTTGTGGTTATGTAACAACAGTTTCTCTAATGTCAGAACATACACTGAGATGCGTCCCTTGGGGAACCATGAGCTGTTGGTACCATATTCACACTAATTCTCCGTCGAACTTAAGTGGAGAATTTGGTTTGTTTAGAAAACTCGCATTGGATACAAGGATGAACCTTTGCTCACAATCAATTTTTCAATCGATTTGGAAAACCATCTTCGAAAATTTTGGCGAGTTATGTACCTTCTTTATTCATATGTTTGTCACAATGCAGTTTGCCTCCAATAAGGAAAAGTTTCTGGGAAACAAGCATCTTGAATAGATTACTACGTGATAATCATGTAATCAAGTTTAAAAACCGACATCGGTAGTTGCAGTTCAACGCTTAAGGGCGAATCTTGGCCTCGGGAAATACTATTTTGGCACCCATCCTTAAAATGAATATGTTATGACAAACGTTTTAGTACTATAGGTTCCAAGGCTTCTGACCTCTGACCAGAAACATCCCAGGATTTATCTATCCACTCGTGAGAATTTACGTCATTTTCAAACAAAACCAGCTGATCATAGTGCAACCCTATGTGTCTTGAGTTTTCCACTATCGACCAGTGACTACGCAGCAGTCAGTGCTGTGGAAGCGTCTCCTCCGCCGACGAAGTCTGTCCCATGAGCTGGCAACACGATCGCTTCACTATTGTGGGTTATCTTCTGAAAGGTCAAACCAATAATCCCCTCACTGAACAGCATCCATTATATCCAGATTATGCTCCATGAGTTCAACCTCATCCCAAAACTTAAAGAAAGAACTGCCTGATTCAGGCGATGGCACCATGTCTTCTGTGGAGGAACCCGGGAAGATCCGGGTTAGAATTGATCTTCAGTAACCCATGCTTGTCGTAAGAGGCGACTAACGTTATCGAGTGGACAGGCTCGCTAACTTGGTTGACACATGTCATCGGTTCCCAATTGCGTATATCGATGCTCATGATGTTGATCACCGGATTGTCTGGTCCAGACTCGATTATTTACAGATTATTTATATTCATATAGCTGGAATATTGCAATGTGCAGTGTCACTCTTTGGAGGACCTTTTACTCCACCTGGAGGAAAACTTCATCAGTGGTCGATTTCTACATCAGGCACTCCAACATCCTTGACTGTAGTGAGAGGACCTCTGGTGGCATTACATTAATAATGCAACCAACTTCTTTAACAGTCCATCATAGCTAAGCTCAGAAGGTTTCATCTACCCCTCGTACCTGTCGAATACAGGTGAGAGTAGACATGTTTGCTGGACACTGGTCGGCGTGACAACACGTGGACGGATGATCGTTCATCCCGTGATGTCGACATGGTGTGTTTCATGCGATTAAACAGAACTTAAGTGGATGTCAACTCCATTAACCTAATAACGCCTTTTGAATGTGGTACTCCATGAATTGATAAAACAGACAGTAGGAAATCATTTATGTCCTTTACTGACAGGTCACGGTAAAATGGGTAAGTATCAGGGTCACACTATATTTAGACATCTATTTGTGGTGGATGTTTAGTCAAATTAAGTCGATTTAACCATTTTCCCGTTTAGAACCGTTTTCGAAAGACGAATTAGGCGTCTAGTGAGGTTAATGATGAAGAGGTGGGGGTGTTGACGTCACTTTCGGAAGGCAACTTTCGTGGTGCACAGAATGAGCATTCGATATTGCCCATCGAGTAGCCGGGATGTTATAAACGTTCAGCGCCAAACAAATATTTGTATTTGTCACATCCATATTAGATACAGATGAATGGTATGGGAACTATGGTAATGTGTAGTTTGCCCTCTGACGGAGTTTGGGATGAACGGTATAAAGTGGTGAACCGTAGCTGTGTATTATAGCAACCGATGAATGTGGAATAGTGAAAACGGGGCAGTACTAAAGTACTTTAGCTACGATATGGCCGCTACACATGATGTTCGGGGATATCAGGTCGGCGTAAATACCAGGAAAGATGGTCTTGACATTACACGCACTCCAATGCGGGTGCAAGGCTTCTTTCTGTCTGTTATATAACCGCCGCCATATTGCTGGAATATAAACAACAAAACAACCAACTGTCTGTATATAGACGTGGGGAAGTAAGGATGGTCCATCAGATTAGATCGTTCAGATACTAGGCAACTGATGTTCATATGACTTCATAAACACTTAATCATATCAGCATGTACCGTGTAACATATGGTAGAGAAGACTCCGGTCCCACTGTACACATTGTCATTAAATCGATCGCTGTGTCACGTATAACATTCTAAACAGCCATATGCGGCTGTAGATTCATTTATATTGAAAAGGTTCAGATTTAGATGAATAACATTACTTCAAATTTGCCAGTGACTTATTCCACAAAGCGACCTTAGTGCTACAATGATGGTATTCTTAGAGAGATATGATGCCCTTAGGGAGAAGATGGCTTCCTGGAACGGGCACTAGAAAGTATTATTAGGGTAAAGCGCAAACAGTGGGGTTGGGAAAACTATATTTTAGAAAAATACCAGTTTTTATTAAAAGTAACACCAGGGTTTAGGTTTTTTGGCCTATGTATAAGGATACAGTCATATGGTCGAAGTCAATTCTGTCTGCCAGAATGCATGAGAATACTGGAACACACACGCACGCAGGCACGCACACACATGCACACCGAAAGAGAAAAGAAAGTATGAAAACACCCAGGTGCTATTTCAGAGTTGTAATGACTTTTACAGTCTAATAATCGCGCAGTTTTAAGGTACTCTTGGTTTTTCACAGGTATTTAAACACTAATTGTTGACATCTAACCAAGTGACGAATGCTCTGTGATGTAGAAATGAACCCAAAGCGAATACAGAATAAAGGTCCCCGACGACCTCTGCTTTGGCAAGAGTTTAGTTTTAGTTATATGCCGCACTCAGCAGTATTCCAGCTACATAATGGCGGGCTTTGGCAAGAGGCGTCTAAATGGACCGGTGATCGGTTACTGGTTGATGCATGACATCGTATCCCAGTTATATGAATCAAGGCTTAGAGTTTCAGATCCAGACTCTAATATTTTCAGACCGCCGCCATTATAGCGGGAATTATTCTGAGGGCGACGTCATATGACAATGGACAAAGTTAAAATATTATGGATATATATTACGACGCTTCGAATGCATTGCGCCGTTCGACAGCTTGGGACTTCATTTTCCATTTATAATATAGTTGTGTAAGCGAAGGTAAGCAACGTTCCTGAAGAATATATGTGACATTTACTTAATGTTTACTCCACGTTCAAACTTTGAGTATTTACCAGGGGAATGGATCTTTTGTTACATTTACACGGATAAATGTTTGTATCTTGACGCCATGTCCTTTGTTATACCGTATATAAATCTTGGAAACTCAGGTCCATCAAGTATAAGTACGATAGTGGGTTTGAGTGAGTATGGTTTACGTCGAATTTAGCGATATTTCAGCAATATCATGGCGGGAAACACCAGAAATGGACTTCACTCATTGTGCCCATGTGGGAAGCTTTCACACGGCTACCCCGCTGCCCCGAGTGATTTTGAAGCGCTTTTAAAATTGCCAGGAGATAACACGACGGAGAGGCTCCCAAGACTGCAAGTGGATTACTCTTAATAGAAAACGTGTAGGAACTGCATTAGGTCTCCCAAGTAGGTCAAATATTAAGAAGACGACTTTGAATTCTGACGCTAACAGTTGTAAGCCTAGACTAACAACTAGTCTCTGAAATGAACATATTTTACTGAAAAAAAGTTCATAGTAATATATATATATATATATATATATAATGAAAAGGAGCCCTGCGACTTTCTTCATTTTCAGAAGCTGTGGAAATCTAGACTTGCCACATTTTCTAGACTTGCGTGGGCTTTCTTATATTTGCTTTAGGGTCTGTACGAGAGATTATTGTAAGCCCCATTATACGCCTAGCACTTTATTTGTCTCAGTGACTGAACCAGCCGGTGTGTTCGACCTAGTTGTAAAACGTCTAAATAAATGTGTCATGTTTACATCTCACTTCCACATTTTGCCTTTTAATTAATGTATAATTGAAAAATACAGTGTTATTAAACATCGACCATTTGGTTCAAAACTTGCAACAATCTGCGTGTATGTAGAACAGATTAACATCTGCGTTCATATCGACCCATTGAACATTTTATTAACAATTTACAAAACCAAATACATATTGCGATATGAGGTGTTTTTTCCGCACCCAGGCAGTAAAACATTATAAACTCAACCGCAGCCATGCCGTCCTGGATATTCACAATTTGCACGTGCGTAAGGGAGAGTTCGTTTAGTAAGAAGTGTTACTGTAAGTGCGAACTGCTCTTTCAGTAAACTGCTGTTCGTTTAGCGTTAATGAACATGCAATGTACCCCTTACTTCAGACATTGGCACTATCATTGAATGGGACAGATTCTTTGATATTTCGCCAGTTGGTCCCTGAAAGTAGGGCGGGGTTGTAAGGGTCGTGTTGGCTGTCGGAGGAACAGATTGAGTATGCAAGATATACTCCCAGGAAGGAACAAAACAATCGATAACCTGACATGGTGAGATATGATTTACAATGGTAAAACAAATTGTCCAGCACATCGCACGTACAACAAACATGGTGAAGGGCCGGACACTATTAAACTAGGTCCTTTACCCACATACGATATTACTATGTGTGAACAGGGCACCTCTAGATTTGTCAGATCTATGCGTACAGGTGTTGGGTAAGACTTCAGCCCGTATCCCCCCTAAATTTTAACGATGACGAAACATTTCTTTGAGTGACATTTTTAAAAGTTGGATGTCTTTCGGTATGTTCAGTATGTACAATTATTAAAGAAGCAAGTTAAAACTCATCCTTGTCAGATGACGAATATAATTCAGGTGATATGATTTGACTAGACTAAAATTTAAGGGGGGATACGGGCGGAAGTCTTTCCCCCGCTATGATGTTAATCATTCATTAATTAAGATTCAATTCAATTCTATTCTTTAACTGAAAGAAAACCGAAAAGTCAAAATCAAATAAAGGATGGGGGAGTTGGGGTGATGATGATATTAAGGGGGGCTCGCCCATTTTGTTCTGGGAGGGAGAGGGTCATCAGTTTTGTAACATTATGGGGGGAAGAGAGAGAGAAGGGGATGACAGCAGTTATGTGCATATTCATAAATTAATAAAATATGCTTAAGAATTATTGGGGGGGGGGAGCATTGATTTTGTACATGACATGCAGGGATGGGGGTGGGGGCACATACTTTGTACGTACATTTTAGGGGGGTGTCAGTCACATTGTACATTCTTCTCTGTAAAAATCATCATCATCCCCCCTAGCCATAAATTATGAACAGTCCCTGATTCTTCATTAAAAATACATTTAGATGAGGGGAGAGTAGTGAAGGCAAAGTGAACTATGTCTCCAACCTATGACCATCTACATCGTCCACTTGGTTAGAATAGGTCCCAACAGTTGCTGAGTCCACTACATGGACAAGGTGATCAGGCTCTGTGGCTTGACTGTGTGTCATGCAACCCTGACAGGCTGGGACTGTGTTAATTATATCAAACACAGGCCAGTCTGATCAGGACTTGATCGTTAGCAGGCTGCTGTCTTAGTGCTGGAATAGTCATGTATTACTGAATGTAGAAACAGGATGCCTAGCTAGACCAGCTCTGATAATGTTCGTATCGACCAGTGAACACAGTTACCAGGAAATATATACAGTATTGAATAATGGAACCCAGCTTATGTTACTCTGCCATCTGTTTTAGTGTACAAGTCTCAGTTTTCAATACTGACATCATGACAGTAGGAAATATAAAGGACTGATAAGACCTGTGTAAATTATTTAATTAGCTGAAATGATCATTAATTGTTCCCTCCCTATGAAACCTCATAATTTGCACGATTAGATTTTATTTGATCCTGCAAGCTTTTCACCAAATTGAACGTGTACAAGTCACTGGAACTGTGAACTGTTTGTATTTCAGAATCTACTTTAAATAATGTTACAAATGCATGCCAAAAGTTACATCAAAAGATTCTACAACTTTGTAGAATGTATGATAGTAGAGAATTCATACCTGTGGTTGACAGGAGAGTTACACATGTGCCCTGTCGGAGGTAACCAATGCTTGAAGTATACCTGGCTGCTTATAAAATGTCTTATTGTATAAAAGTTCAATATCATTGAGAAACACCCATATCGCCCCCCCCCCCCCCACACACACACACACACACCTTACAGTATACTTCAACATGCTTACAATCCTGTACTGACCACTAAATGTGAGCAACCTCAGCTCATTGTCAATATCTCCCAGCCTTGAGCATTGTGCAATACTGACTGGCTGTACGCCATCAGTGACAAAGTGCATTGGGGGAGTTTACATCCTATCACATGTCCACATACTATCAGTGTACAGCCAGCCCACACTTGAACATCTTGCCAGTTCAAGGTTGAAAGTCGAAAGATAACTGCAATAATACTTATCAGGTTCCTGTCAACCGATACCTCATTCATGCCACTTGCATTACAAGGGCCTTAGTCCACACTGAAATATCTTGCTGTGTCCGTCCCAACAGAGTGTGGCACGTGGCGTTGACTGTCAGTTTGTCCAAAACAAGCATAGCCAGCAGTATCTCATCTCTACCATACAGTGGTCAGCATTAGCAGTTTCCTTGGTTAAAGATGAGTTTCTCATATTCTCAGGATCCTCCCGAATACATCTACATTCCTGGTGGACTCCGAGTTGGTGCGTCCATTATCATCAGAGGGAAGACACAGTATGGATGTGAATCGTAAGTGAAATTATTTCATTTAACATTCATTAAAAGAAGACATATATTTACATGAGCTTTGGTTTGAGTGCAAGATAAAGAAACATGAGCGTGGGTCTAAATGTGCAGTAATGGTACTTTTATTAATGACTGCATGAAGTACTGGCATGACAACAAAGTTCATGAAGTACTGGCATGACAACAAAGTGCATGAAGTACTGGCATGACAACAAAGTTCATGAAGTGCTGGCATGACAACAAAGTGCATGAAGTACTGGCATGACAACAAAGTTCATGAAGTACTGGCATGACAACAAAGTGCATGAAGTGCTGGCATGACAACAAAGTTCATGAAGTGCTGGCATGACAACAAAGTGCATGAAGTACTGGCATGACAACAAAGTGCATGAAGTACTGGCATGACAACAAAGTGCATGAAGTACTGGCATGACAACAAAGTGCATGAAGTACTGGCATGACAACAAAGTGCATGAAGTACTGGCATGACAACAAAGTTCATGAAGTACTGGCATGACAACAAAGTTCATGAAGTACTGGCATGACAACAAAGTGCATGAAGTACTGGCATGACAAAGTTCATGAAGTACTGGCATGACAACAAAGTGCATGAAGTACTGGCATGACATGACAAAGTGCATGAAGTACTGGCATGACAACAAAGTGCATGAAGTACTGGCATGACAACAAAGTGCATGAAGTACTGGCTTGACAACAAAGTGCATGAAGTACTGGCATGACAACAAAGTGCATGAAGTACTGGCATGACAAAGTTCATGAAGTACTGGCATGACAACAAAGTGCATGAAGTACTGGCATGACAACAAAGTGCATGAAGTACTGGCATGACAACAAAGTTCATGAAGTACTGGCATGACAACAAAGTGCATGAAGTACTGGCATGACAACAAAGTGCATGAAGTACTGGCATGACAACAAAGTGCATGAAGTACTGGCATGACAACAAAGTGCATGAAGTACTGGCATGACAACAAAGTGCATGAAGTACTGGCATGACAACAAAGTGCATGAAGTACTGGCTTGACAACAAAGTGCATGAAGTACTGGCATGACAACAAAGTGCATGAAGTACTGGCATGACAACAAAGTGCATGAAGTATTGGCATGACAACAAAGTACATGAAGTACTGGCTTGACAACAAAGTGCATGAAGTACTGGCATGAGAACAAAGTTCATGAAGTACTGGCGTGACTACAAAGTTCATGAATTGCTGGCATGACAAGAAAGTGCATGAAGTACTGGCGTGACTTCAAAGTTCATGAAGTATTGGTGTGAGAAAAAAGTGCAAACGAAGTAAACAGTGTAACCCATTTTTTATCCTAAGCTGAAAATCTTTGAAAAAAATTACAATGTCAGGGCTCCAGATAATTTTTCAACATCACGAGTACATTAAGAGTACATTTAGAGTACTGAGTGGAATTTAATGGAGTATCAGTAACCTTGTGTTTCGTTTATGCACCACAACATTGCTACTCTTGTGTAAACAGGTCAATGAACAATAAGACAATACTTTTTCAGATAAATACGTCTGTAAATGATTCTAAGACCGTACACCAATGCCGTAGTGCATATCTGCTACGTTTTCTAAATTATTTCCTACCGTATCGTGCATATTTTTTATCCGTACATACACCGATATGGCCCTTATCTGGAGCCCTGCAATTTTATGTTTAAAATTTGATTTGATTTGACGAAGCGGTCACGATCACGATGAGTATTTTGGATTGTTGTGGCTTGTAGGTAGTGTTAGATAGAGTTACTACCTGCTCTTGGCACACCTGTATGGTGATTGTGTTCAGGTATACAGTTACAGGATAGTCTCGGCATGTCACAACAACCTTCCTCAGCAGATAAATCACGTGAAGTGTTTCCTTGTGACAGATATTGCTTCATGTAAAATGTAACAAACTAATTAAGTATCACAGTGTTTGATAGGACAGTTTTAATCCACAGACAGGTATTCCACATTTAAATGCAGCTTGTTGAGGTAAATAGTTTCTCATCACATATCCTTCCCCCCTGTTTACACTACTGCAATGGAACCCTCCAAATATATATTTAAATCAAGGTTATATTTAAAAATATGTCTACACTAATTCATAAAAGATGTATGTAATCTGGTCAGGTCCCACCTGATTTATGAAATAATAAGTTTTGCTCAATAAGCATTATGATTTTATTGTGCTAATGACCATTTAGAGACAAATAATACTGAATAAGTCAAATTTTACTGTCCTTTTATCTATCAAACTCTACATCAAACTCTTTTAACATTGTGAAACAAGAACTGAAAATGTTGTGTGATATGTTATAGTGATTGGAAGACATGTATTTGAAGCTGTTGCTTGATGACAGTCGGTAAATGGTTTACAGGATGGAATAGGTTCAGTGTGGTAGTGAATAATATTGTTCCAAGACTCCCAGGGTAGTGTCCATCAGTATGTGACAAGTAACTATGTGTTAGGATAGTGAAGGTGTCACAAGGTGATTGATGTATTGCTTTCCTTCTTTCAGGTTTGCCATTAATCTTAAGTGTGGTGACGGGGATGACTGTAACATCCCCTTCCACTTCAACCCCCGCCCAGCATCAAATGATGTGATTCGCAACTCCTACATGGGCGGCTGGCAGGATGAGGAGACGGACCAGCCTTACTTCCCCCTTCCTGGAGGGACGGTCCTTCCAGGTCCGTATCCATGCCTCACAGGATGAGTTCCGCGTCACTGTCAACGGCAGAGATTTCATCACCTACGGCTACCGTACAGATCTGAGTGAAATCCGTTATCTCCAGCTTGGATCTGGAGCTGAATATTCTGATGTCACCATACAGAACAGCATGGTATGTGCTTAGTGGGTGCTAATTGGTTTACCCATATTTGGATATTAATGTTTTGTTATAAGCTGATTGGAGAAATGTTAGTTTGTTAGGGTATGGATTGCCTTGCTGTCTTTTGCATTGAAATTCAAGATGCAAAGATGTGTACCTTGACCTTGCAAGGAACTGCATTTGTTAGTTTAAGTGAAAAACTTAACTCAGATTAAGATTCTTGGTTCACTGACACAATATCATTTACTCTTGGGGCCCAGTAGAGAAGGTGAGAGGTTCATTTTTCAATGAAGGTATGATTTCCCACAGGTATAATGTCTGAAACTTATTTCTTGTGTTCCCTGCATGATATTGCTGGATTATGTTGTAGCACGAAGCTCAGTACTCACTTACACTTTTTTTGCCCATTTCCACAAGTATATTTTTTCAGTGTAAAAATGTATTTTGATGCAAGTGATAGGGTTTTTGATTCAGATCGACCCAATCCAGATATAGCTGATCATAAGGAGAGCATGTATTTGTGGTAATGTGTTTCAGACCAACCCCTACTTCGAGGAGTTCAAGCGAGGGTTTGGTGTGGGTCAGGCTGTGAGGATTAGGGGAGCTGTCAAGGATGATGCTGAATCGTAAGTACAGGCCACACACTGCATACAAATGTTAAAACATATCGCAAACATCTGCCAGAAGTACAAACTATGCTTGGTTCTGTGATGACACCAGTGGCCGTATGCATATGTCGGGCGTACATTCTAGTCCGGACGTAAGTACACTGTGCATCCGGGCGTGTAAGAGCAGGGCGCTGCTAAGCCTGACGTAGTGTGTTACGCCTGACGTTAGCTACGCCCGACATATGCATGCAGCCGCAGGTGTTTACAGAGTGGGTAAGCATGTCCTGTGTTCCCCCAGCACCTGCCATGCATAATTTATATTGAAAGTGTAGATGTCAGTGGGAAAGGTTGTGTGAAAAGCATTGACCCACTTATTGTCAGACCTTGCTAATCAGGACTAGTCCCACTTTTTGTTTGACCTTGTTAATCAGGACTAGTCCCACTTATTGTCTGACCTTGTTAATCAGGACTAGTCCCACTTATTGTCTGACCTTGTTAATCAGGACTAAAACCTATTGGCAGACTTTATTAATCACGACCAGTCCCACTTATTGGCAGACCTTGTTAATCAGGACTAGTCCCACTTATTGGCAGACCTTGTTAATCAGGACTAGTCCCACTTCTGCTTGACTTATTAATCAGGCTAGACCTTGTTAATCAGGACAGGACTCCCACTTATTGGCGAACCTTGTTAATCAGGACTAATCCCACTTATTGGCAGACCTTGTTAATCAGGACTAGGACTACATTGTTAATAAGGACTACATTTTTTTAAACTGGAATATGAAATTTGTGTAGTAACAACTTCTTGGAATAACAAATCCTAGGTGGGGGGTAATGTTCCTTAGGAAGTTGTTACTGGATGTCGTGAAAAATGTGTTACATACACACACACCCAGACACCCCTGTACCTGACCACCGGCCTCAATCACGAGTGTGAACATAGCTCCATGGTGTATGAAATAACTGAGAGGCAGCTTTGTTACCTTTGCTACACAGAATATTTCATTTCATTGGTTATATAGCCTTGACAGTCAGTCATTTCACAAAACTGTGCCTTGAAAAGTTTTTGTTCACTTTGAGGTTCTACAAGTATTGAAAGGTTGTTGGAACTGGGTTATGTGGTACGAGAACTTATTATTCAACTTGTACACACTGAACTCTGGGATGTACTGTGTTATACACATGCATTATGAAGGTAGGGGATCCTCAGCTGTTCAACTGTGGTGGAGAGATACGAGCCAATTAGTCACAATAGATAGAGATATGGGCCATTTAATCTGAATAGATAGATTTGCAGAACACAGGGCGGTGCCCGTGTAGCCTGGTGGTTAAAGTGTTTGCTCATCACACTGAAGACCCGGGTTTGATTCCCCACATGGGTACAATGTGTGAAGCCCATTTCTGGTGTCCTACACCGTGATATTGCTGGATGGTATCAACACTCGTTGACAAAAGTAAAAATATCCTTGACATGGATATTTGTAACTTTATCAACTCATGTTGATATAATTGATATCAGTAGACACTTGGGTGAGATTCTCTATGTATGGGTTGATCTGTAGCGTGGTCTATCTGTCAACAGATTTTCAGTGAACTTCAACTGTGACTGTGGCGGAGATACGACAGGTTTCCATTTCAACCCACGTTTTGAAGATGGGGAAGTGGTCCGCAACGCTAACCTGGGGGGCTGGGGGGAGGAGGAGAAGGGACAAGGTGACTTCCCTTTCTCAAGAGGGGCAATGTTTGATGCACTGTTCATTGCTCAGGAGGACAGATTCAATGTAAGTGAAGGGCGATTTGTTGACAAACAGATATCAGTGGATGATAATTGTTCATGTCAGTAAACAATGTCTTCCCTCTGATTATCTTTCATGTGCTAATTTTTGGTGTGAAACAGAAGGGTTTTTTCAGACTGAAAGTAGTTCTGGCTTGGAGTTCATTTCATGTCATTTCTTCAGTGAAGTGTTCTCTGTTTTTCAAATTAATACAGTAATTCAGCTAGAAGGATTTCTATTAACTGAATTGAAAGAATCTCCAAATGTTTATTTTCATGTGTATTGTATACCAAAACCAGTGTAATCTCTACAATTACTGATCTGACTGCCGCTTGAATTCTCATTTGTAAAGTTGGTAGAAGTAGGCTTTGTTATCTTGATAATGTCAGTCAATGTAATAGTTATTCACCGTATAAGCAACCATACATTGTTTCAGATTTATGTCAATGAAATGCTTTTGCCCTGTTCAATTGCAGCTGTGGCGATCCAATGACATCCGCTACCTGACCATCAATGGAGATATCTCTATCTGTAGTGTAGAGTTTTGAGCCTCTTGTAAGTATTAATATATTTTACCAGGTGTTTTGAAATATTGTACACAGAATATTTCATTTCATTGGTTATATAGCCTTGACAGTCAGTCATTTCACAAAACTGTGCCTTGAAAAGTTTTTGTTCACTTTGAGGTTCTACAAGTATTGAAAGGTTGTTGGAACTGGGTTATGTGGTACGAGAACTTATTATTCAACTTGTACACACTGAACTCTGGGATGTACTGTGTTATACACATGCATTATGAAGGTAGGGGATCCTCAGCTGTTCAACTGTGGTGGAGAGATACGAGCCAGTTAGTCACAATAGATAGAGATATGGGCCATTTAATCTGAATAGATAGATTTGCAGAACACAGGGCGGTGCGGTAGCCTGGTGGTTAAAGTGTTTGCTCATCACACTGAAGACCCGGGTTTGATTCCCCACATGGGTACAATGTGTGAAGCCCATTTCTGGTGTCCTACACCGTGATATTGCTGGATGGTATCAACACTCGTTGACAAAAGTAAAAATATCCTTGACATGGATATTTGTAACTTTATCAACTCATGTTGATATAATTGATATCAGTAGACACTTGGGTGAGATTCTCTATGTATGGGTTGATCTGTAGCGTGGTCTATCTGTCAACAGATTTTCAGTGAACTTCAACTGTGACTGTGGCGGAGATACGACAGGTTTCCATTTCAACCCACGTTTTGAAGATGGGGAAGTGGTCCGCAACGCTAACCTGGGGGGCTGGGGGGAGGAGGAGAAGGGACAAGGTGACTTCCCTTTCTCAAGAGGGGCAATGTTTGATGCACTGTTCATTGCTCAGGAGGACAGATTCAATGTAAGTGAAGGGCGATTTGTTGACAAACAGATATCAGTGGATGATAATTGTTCATGTCAGTAAACAATGTCTTCCTCTGATTATCTTTCATGTGCTAATTTTGGTGTGAAACAGAAGGGGTTTTTTTTCAGACTGAAAGTAGTTCTGGCTTGGAGTTCATTTCATGTCATTTCTTCAGTGAAGTGTTCTCTGTTTTTTCAAATTAATACAGTAATTCAGCTAGAAGGATTTCTATTAACTGAATTGAAAGAATCTCCAAATGTTTATTTTCATGTGTATTGTATAACAAAACCAGTGTAATCTCTAATTACTGATCTGACTGCCAGTTGAATTCAAATTTGTAAAGTTGGTAGTAGACTTTGTTATCTTGATAATGTCAGTCATTGTAATAGTTATTCACTGTCGTAACCATTGTTTCAGATTTATGTCAATGAGAAATACTTTGCCCTGTTCAATTACCGCTGTGACGTCAATGACATCCGCTACCTGACCATCAATGGAGATATCTCTATCTGTGATGTCGAGTTTTTTGAGCCTCTTGTAAGTATTAATATATTTACCTCAGGTCATTTTGAAAATATTGTGGTTATAATAGTAACTATTCAGGACATTGTTTTGAAGATGAAACTTTTGTTCTGTTTCTTCAGCCAGATGACTTCATGAAAGAGATCCCCTCCGGTCTTGAGAATAGCGACATGATTGTTGTCAAAGGGTTCTTCTACCCAGAGGGAGACAGGTACACAACAACATACTTAGAAATAATTGAATTAGGATTTTGTTCAAAACGCTAACTTTGGAAGGGAAAGCTGATCAAAGTTCATCATATTTCATTTTAATTTCAGGACATTCTATGATTTAACATATCCAGCAAAATTAGCTTTTTGTGGGTTTTTTTTTAAAACTAGAGGATAAATTGTTTTGTTTTTTTTCAGGAATATATTATTTAAATAAAACAATTCCTAACTCGGTATCAGTGGCCAAGAGGTGAAAGATAATCATTTACAATGGTTAATACGGAGATTTGTTTTAACGACTTGGACACTGAATGTGTTCTCCTAGTGTATCTCACTTTCCCTGAACCACATTATCTTCCCTTCTGCCTGACACTGCCTGTAATGCAAACATCCTGAGTGAAGCAAGTCTAGGTTACCTCAGGTTCAGGGCCTTTTATCATCTGCAAGAAAACTACTCACTTCAGAGGCGGGGCTACAGTGTAAATATATCAAACTGCCATGGCTGGCTGGACCAAAATGTTTGCTTGGTCAGGAATCTTTTCCAATCTCGCAGGGGCTCCTTTTGTTTCCATCAGCATTACATATATTCAGGAACTACAGTAAGCATTAGTCTAGTGTCATCAATTTCTCTTCCACCTTTCATTTAGTTTTGCGATCAACCTCATGAACGGCGACAGCCTTGAGGATGACGTGGGCCTTCACTTCAACCCCCGACGCGGGGAGGGGGAGGTGGTCCTGAATAACCGCGTGGATGGGGAGTGGTTAGAGGAGGAGCGAGAAGCAATACCCAATGCATTCCAAGAGTTACTTCCCTTTGAGGTCAAAATTGTTGTCAAGAAGAACAAGTTCAAGGTTGGAGAAAGCTTTGTGCTCATCATACTTTATTAGATGATACATGATATACTGATAAGAAAGAGGGACAGAGCATGAGAAGCAAAGATAGAGTGTGTGAAAGCCAAGATAGATAGGGGAGAATTTACCTCACCACACTGAAGGTAGTTAAATTTACATTAAACTGGATACACTGTTGTTTTTAGTGTGTAATGTGAGTAGATAGATGTGCCTTCCCACTTGGTCAAATTTCATAAACAGAAGTTTTGAATGTAGTTGTATCATGACCTTCCTCTATAATATCACCCTTAGTATCTGGTGTATTCAAACATGGGACTGTCCTGCTCCTTTCTCCTAGTTGTGTTTTGTTTCCAATGACATGTTTTTACTGTTCTTCTTAGATCTATGTGAATGGCAAGAAGCTGACCAGCTTCCGCTCACGGTGTAGCGTGGATGCCATGCGGAGAATTAACGTGAATGGCAATGCCTACTTCTACCAAGCCAAACTACTCAGGAGACTGGTGAGTCTACAAACTGTGTCGTTTACAAAACACATGGCCTGTGTGGTTTACATAAATATATGACAAAGTCTACCACAGTAGTTGGTTATCAGATAACTAGTGCAAAGTGCACTGCACAATCCATGGCCTCTACAAACATCTAAAAAACTATTTAGAAAGATTGAATACTAGTTTATACTGTACAAGTAGTCAACATCCTGAACAAGTTGTACTTGTGAATTTGCCCCATTAAACTGAATATACTGAGATGCACAAAATCCTTCTGACTGAAAGTCAGTTGAGGTTATGCCATAGCCTGTTTGTCTGTTGAGTATCCGAAGCCATTGGACCAGTGAAGCCAAACTGGACACTCCAGACTTGCACCTCAGTACTGAGAGAGTTTCATCTGTTTGAGCTGATACAGCTTTCAGTGATGTTGGGGTGGACTTAACTACAAACATACATTTGACAGCCATACATTAGTCAATTTGGTTACTTTAGTAAAAATCTCTCCAAATGATATATTCATGCTTATTGTATGCCAATGATTAGTATGCTACAAAAGTGGTGTGTGCCCCCTATTGTATCATTCTTTCAGACAACTAGTAAGTTGTACATCTAACAAAACATCACCAACATGGTATACAACTTCTGTGCATTGACACAGATAATTGGGGCATTTTAATGACTGCATGTAAATTGAAAGGCCTAGTGCACTTTGAGGTTTAATTTTGAGATACAAATGTTAGAAGAATTATTTTTTTATCAGGAATTGCCAGATGTTGAAAGAATCCCAAGTAACTTGCAGCCAGGCGGTTGGGTTGTTGTCAACGGAACGGCCAAGAAGGAAGCCCAGAGGTAATGAGGTGTGGCTGGGAGAGAGGATGACTGCTTGGTCCTGTGGGGTAGAATCAGTCCCCAGCAACATCTGTTAGTTGTAGGTGATGGATTGTGTGGAGAGAGGACGACTGCTTGGTCCTGTGGGCTAGAACCAGTCCCCAGCAACATCTGTTAGTTGTAGGTGATGGATTGTGTGGAGAGAGGCAACTGCTTGGTCCTGTGGGCTAGAACCAGTCCCCAGCAACATCTGTTAGTTGTAGACGATGGATTGTGTGGAGAGAGGCAACTGCTTGGTCCTATGGGGTAGAACCAGTCCCCAGCAACATCTGTTAGTTGTAGGTGATGGATTGTGTGGTGAGACTTTGTGACTTGGCCCATGGCATGTCCACCTGACCCAACAGAAGCTCTCAATATCATCCATTAGATTATCTCAACTATACTGTCAGCATCATATAGCTGGAATATTGCTGAGGGCGGCGTTAAACAACAAAACAACCAACCAAGACTCAACTAATATATTGCTGATGTGATCTTCAACAACAATCAAACAATCGGATTACTTGAAGGTCAAATTCCTAAATATATCAGATAGGATATACATGATGTCATAGTAATTAGTTTGTAATGGTTCAGCAGGGAGAGAAATGCAATTTTTCTGAAGGGGGCCATTGGGCACCATATAGATAATTTAGGTGTGCCTTTGTGAAATTAAGTGTAAGAAATTTACCTTTTTATGATGCAGTTAAACTTAAAACATTACAACTGTCATTTCGGCTTATTGCTAACAAATTAGTACACATTATGTAAACCTGTAAACTTGAGTGCTGGATTTCCTGAACACTGTCAAGAATGCAAGAATAGTTCCGCTTCATTTGTCCAGAACCCATAAACAAACCAATAACCTATGTTATCATCCAAAACAGGATTTCCTGTTACGAGCACTGGCATTCAATATGGCCACACTCATGTTAAGCTGTGCCACTGATAGTTTGATGGGGTACAAAAATAGGTTTCAAATCATTTGAGTTGGTCAAATTTATTACATTTTCAATGAATCATGGTGAGTATTATTTTTATATTTTTAGTTGTGCAGCTGGGGCACATTAAAAATATTTCATCTGTGCCCCTCCAACATTTACCATGCCATGACACAAACTAAGCACTATTTCGATCCCTGTTAATGGATTTGAGCATTAAAGTTAGAGACGGTGTTGGGGAAGTGGTACAAAGGTTGCTTTGCCCACCAAGCTCTAGTTTGATTCCTCACATACATTCCACTGTTGGTGGCCAGCTGTGATGTGAGTAGAATATTGCAAAAACTAAGTACAACAACATGAATTATTGAACACTTTGTGAAGATAGTTATCTGGTTGAAGTATGTCTTAAATTTACAAGTATCAAGTGTATTATATCTCCATTCTGTTACAGTGAAATAATCTTGACCATAGTATTTTTATTCCTAACTCCCCTAATTTTGACAAACAGGAGGAATATAGAGAACAGCAGAATGTCCGTTTGAATATTTCCTGATGAAACTTGCTACAAAGATCAGTCAATAGGTGAACTGGTTCATCTGTTTGGGATTTTTTTAAAGAACTGCACAGCATTATTTTCTATTTCACTGAATTGAATTTATTCGATGGCAGTAAACCAGAAGTGGGGTTTAAGTAGCCAAACTTCTGTCCCCGAATTGCACTGGATGGGGGATGTCATTTCCTGATTCCGCTTGTTTCTAAAGTGATTTCACCCTCTCCATCTCTTATCAGCAATACAACACAGAACACTGCCATTGTATTATTTGACTGAGGCTCATAACAAAGCTTGCAGGATGATTGGGACCTACCAGTATGTTTATTTTCTGGTTCCACTAATAGGTAATGGAGTATCTTATAGCAGTTGTCAGAATTAGGTCACTGAAACTACAGGTAATTATAACTGACCTATCTTAGGGACCGTTAATGATTTATGGCTGATGATGATTTTAAGGGGGTCACCCATTTTGTTTGGAGGGTCATCAATTTTGTACGAGTACCCCATGGGGCTCAGTACTCGTACCACTATCAATCGCTTTTCAATGTCCTTTGCCAGATGGTCCTCGAGGACCAAAATCTTTGACTGCTCTGTACTCAAGCTTATCAATTTCTACCGTTTCAATAGGGATACATGAATAGGGGTCACATGACCGGATTGTAGCAACATGTGCATGTCAATGTTACGTTTATGTGAATGATATAAACCATTCTTCAGTATCATAGTTATTTTTTTCATGCACATATCAGAAGCATTTTAGGTTCAAAACTTTTTGATAGCCTGTTGTACATGCTTCTCCATAAAAATGATCATCACAGACACCCCAAGCCATATATTATGAACGGTCCCTTATGGTGTAGTAGTTGTACAAATGAGGTCACTGAAACTGCTGGTAGTTGTAACTGAAATATCTTATGGTGTAGCAGTTGTAAAAATGAGGTCACTGAAACTGCTGGTAGTTGTAACTGAAATATCTTATGGTGTAGCAGTTGTAAAAATGAGGTCACTGAAACTGCTGGTAGTTGTAACTGAAATATCTTATGGTGTAGCAGTTGTAAGAATGAGGTCACTGTAACTCAATTTTATCTTCTTTTGTTAGTTTTGCCATCAACCTGCAGTGCGGTGACAGTGGTGATTACAACACAGACATTGCCCTCCACTTCAATCCGCGCTTCAGCGGGGAGGACTCTGTCCGCAACACCCATGAGGATGGTAGCTGGGGAGAGGAAGAGCTGGAACAACCCAACTTCCCCTTTGAACCCAAGGATGCTTTTGAAGTAGCCATCAACTGTCTTGAAGACCGATACAGAGTGAGTTGTTTACACCTTCGTATAAACACTTGTTGGTCAGATGAACATAGTAACTGACCAGTGGTATTCCTGTCCCATATGTATAGAACACCTGCTGTTGATTTGGGTTCATATATGCTATTAGATTGGTAACTTGGTTTATTGCAACAAAAAGAAGAGACACCTTGGCAGGTTTATTGTCTTACTCAATACATTTTTTGTCCAGGGCCTCAAAACATGATCCCTTCCAAGTTACAGCCCTCAGCTATGAAGGATTTCCCTGATTCTTGGGTTTTAGTAAACATCTTTAGTCTTCCTTTCCATGTGGTACTGAAATGCTGTAATAGATCTTACATATTTTTCATACTGGTTCAGTGCCTAAATCACTTTAAATGGTCATTGCAATTTTATGGTATTCCACTGAGACCTGTGGATCAGGAGTTGCTGAGCTTTCAAGGAATGTAAGATCATGATCCTTGTGTTGCAGATCTATGTGAATGGGTATCACTACGTGGACTATAACCATCGTATCGACTACCACCGAGTGTGCCATCTCATGCTGACTGGCGATGCCAACTTCTTCGAGCCAGAGTTTTTCTAAGCTGTCCATCTGCAGGTATGTCAGATCAGGAGTAGACTATGCTCATTTAGTAGGATTGGGTATTGTTAATCATATAATCAGTTGGTTATTTGACAGTTGGACAAACTTTCTGAAAAAGACCTTAATGTGGTGTAAAAACTGTAATTTTCACTGTGACAGTTATGTATCACTGCAAACAAGATATCAATTAGCTTTGATCTTCATTTTAACTTTTATGCATTTACTACAAAATCTAAATATTATGAATACTCTGGTTGATGAGAAGTTTTTCTCGTACAATCTCTTGCTCCCTGATTTGTTTTGTAGCCTCTGTCTTGTTTCAGGAAAGCCTGGCAAGTCTTCCCATGTTCAGCTCAAGAACAATTTCACTGTGATATAGGACTTGTGAACTCGTCAAATCATTTGTAAATTTATTATCATTCAGCATTGACTGGGCAACCAGGACTGCTTCTGGCATTATTATTCTTCATTTGAATTTATCTATTACTATTAACCCTGTTACTTCTCAATGCAAAATTGATGTGTTGATCCTGTCAAATACAACCTCAATCTGTCAAAACTCATGGTAACTCAACAAAGACAGTTTAAAATTGTCATACTTATATTTAGTATGTTTGAGTTTGATACTGCTTGCAGCTTTAGTCCATGCATCAGGTTTCTGGCATATGAGATAATCTAAGTTTGTTAATTTCTTTCTGTAATTCTGGTGGAATACTAATAAGCATGTTTGATCAGTTCAAAAGTTTTACTCTTATTTGAATGCAAGCCAAGTCAGCTTTTCTAATAAAACTTGCATATATAATACTCACTTGTTTCATGTTTGTATAACAACTCACTTAGTGAATCTGATCCAGACAATCCAGTCATCGTATCCCTCCATGGCTTGATGTCAATCAACTGAGTCTTGTGGACAGAAGCACTTGTAAACCACTATAAGAAAATAGTCATGCGAACACCTTCAAATCTTTCACTTACGTTCTTCTCAGAATAACACTCTAGGGTTTCCAATGCTCATCTGAACATTGTAAATGTTGACAAACAACAAAGACTGATTTAACAAATATTCTGTAATTATAAATGATATAAATAATACATAAAATTACAACACACGGGCTACAGAGATCCCGCATGGCTCTTACCACAAGACTCCTACTGAAAATGTATTGTGATCTAGAGGTATGCAGGGCAAATGGCATGAAGCAGCAGCAACAGCATCAAGATCTGAGGCCTCATTTTCAATAGCATGCAGGACATGTCACATCTGGACTGGTCTCCATGGCAGAAATGTCATGAATACTATCCTGTATTTCCTCTCAATAGAATAGTAACTTGTAAAACCTTTCACTTGGGAACATTAATAGGTCATGATATCAATGCAAAATCTAAAATTCAGTATTCAAAACTTTTGTTGACAGACTACTAATCCATCAGAAATAAGAACATGCCATACACTGAAGTCTTTAATACACTACTCGTTAATGGGACTACAGTACTCAATGATGCTGTGCTGATACCAATGGAACTGCATCCCTGCATGTAGGGGAATAACATCTAATACTGTATGAGGAGCATGCAGACATGGTTCTATAGAATCTGAAGAAGCACAACAATAGACTTGTCAGATCTGGTCAGTATTTGATACACTTTGGAGCAGGTAATGTTACATTATATTAACTAAGAGATCTAATACAAATATAATCCTCTAAAAAACTTCCAGTAGAAAACAAGAATACTTTTCCTTTGAACTATACAAATGTTTTTGACAAGTCATGTAATAGAATTGTCTAGTATACAGAATATTTCATAATGACCAAATTATTCCTTACTTTACAGATTGTATTGGCAAAATGCCAAGAAAGAAAATAAGGGAAACCTGAAAAACTAATTTTTTCAAAATCGGTACTTTCCTCAATTGTCTGGAAAACATGAATGAATTTGGTCTGGCCTAGCATAATAAAATAAGGTTTTCTTTTCAGCAGTTCTATCAAAATTGATCCAAAATAGATCACCATATCCCTATTGCTGACTCTGTCCTACATTCAACTTGCTAGGACTTCCCCCCAACAACTCCGAGAAACTCATGTTAAGATTGTTGAAGTGCACATCATACCTATGAACAGTCGTGTGGACTTGCACAATCTGTGTGGGTGGTGGACTTCACATGAAGAAACCACTGAAGTGGAAAAGCGTTTCACAGATATTAGCAGAACTGTTAATATGCAGTGGATACATATCTTCTCTTTAAATATACATAGACCATCTATACAACGTGTAGTTATCTGATAATTCTTACTTAGATATTATTTTGAACATCATCTTCATGTGTTTGCACAATGCATGACAAAACTGACCAAGTTATGATATGATAAATTCAAGCAGTTGATCAGTACTAAATGATGTGTACAGAAAAACTGAAACAATCTGTTGAACAATACCCCAGTACATACTGATAAAAAAATCTGTATATGAAGGAGTTAATAATGCAGGGTATTATACCAACTTATACTATTACAAAGCATGTCATGATTTTGATGATTACTTGTTCACAATGCTTTACAAGAACCATATGGACACTATACATGTAATATAAGAAGATTGATTGGCCTTAAAATACACTTGGTTCTCTGCAGCGTCAAGTGAGAACCCCTGGGAGCCTCACATTTCAGAAGTACAACATACAGGTCGTCTGTATCAATGTTTCAAACACCAATGAGTGAGTCTGGTTTAATGCCTTTTAAATACATATCACCGAGTGTCTGTTTGCTGTGTGAGGAAGCCCAGCAGTGATACATGTCACAGACTTGTGGCTTTCACAAACATTGCTAAAGTATGGTCCTGAGAAACATAGGAACATCAGGGCAAATGGCATTTGAAACCACAATCAAAGGCTGCTGGCACATCTGGGAGGTGCATGTCTAAACAAAGAATTGCAGCACCTTCAATGATGGCCGCTGTATTCCCTACAATCATCACTGCCTGAGAACAAGGTATTTTGTAAAGCACATGTCACAAAGGTACTTATATGTTGTTGGAACAAATGCCTGTCATCTTCTGCTCACCAACTTACAAGTACAATAGCAGAGCTATTTTAAACATTGGTGCCATTGTTTCTGGGTTACTGTATACACTGTCACATGACCAATACCAATCACATTCATTTTCAAAAATTCAAAATCCAAATATATGATCACTTGTTAGCAACACTGCTTTTTCAGAATTTTCAGCTTTGTTCAGTATTCACATACATACATCTCTCTTATGACTAATCTGGGAGAAGAGCCACATTACAAACTTGATATGTCATTACATTATCTACACAGGAGGGAAAGTTCAGTTTACTACACTCTTTCATCATGGGATTTCAGTGTCCAGTAAACTGAAGATGATAAAACTGCAGTCAACTGGTAAAGATGAAGTCTGGGTGTATTGTTCTAGTGTGGGATTGTTATGGTCATATACATTTCATCTGTGAGTACAGGAAGCTAGCACAGTTCTAGGAGATACGGTTATGGACAATAAATCCAGTAGCAGAGCATACATTATACTAGTGTCACAAACACACCAACAGCAGAACATTTACTCCTCCTATTTGCTAGCTTACAAAATCAATCCACACAAAGCCTTCATTATCTTGAACTAAGGTTTTGAGGGAAAAAAGTTTGTAAACCAACAAATAAAAAAATACAAGGTCAGAGAAACAAGTTCATTCTATAAGCAGCAGTGAACAAAATACATGTTTTCTGTTACTATGAAAATCACAACTTTTTTTATTAAAATGTAACACGTTCATCATGTTGACAATCTACATAAATAATTCTAGGAATGAGATTCTTTCTTACCCTAAATCTTTCTGTCCTTTTTCAGTCAATAAGTATATTCAAACCAATCAGCCCAAACATTGTCGATGACTACAGATATACTCTGATCAGTAGGACAAGAGAAAGTTCCCTATGACAGAGAGCCCATTTCAGATTCCATAATGAATAATAACATCATGTTAAATGTGCCTTTAAGCTGATCCATTCAAAATAGGGTGGGCTGGCACTTCAGTTTATAGTATTAGCTATTTATTCCTTGTCTCTGGCTTTCACAAGTTGCCATACCTTGCAGTCACTACTCACCAACTTAAATATTACATAAAGGGAGATAACCCAACAACCACTTCAAAATATAGAAATAAGAAAACTTGAAAAGGAGATAAGCTAAGGGAAACTAACCAAAATGAAACAAACAAAATTACTGTAAGAGCTAGTATGACTGCATGTAAGACATGGCAGTATGATAACTATTTCTTTTTACTTAACCAAGGTAAGAAATTAAGCCTGAGAGTGAAGGGGTTTGGTTTTATGTTCACCGATGCTGTGTTTATTTGCCAAAAGCTGCTACTTAATACTAAATCATAGAAAACATCCTTTATATGGATACATTTTTTATGGTATTTTACTGTTGTGATATTATTTTATGATAAATTCTCTCTCATAATTCTTAAGAATGGTTCTGTATGAGTTTTTTTTATGTTTGTATATATGCTGTTGCTGTTTTCATGTATCTACAGAAGGGAGACATAAATAAACTATTGTCTGTCTGTCTTAACCCTCATGTCAAAGTTGTTGCAATGACCTCAAGCATCCCCTTAATTTGAAATTGCGCTGAACCAATGTTGCACTAATATTATATCTGTATCCAAACGATCTAAAAGAGCTAAAGCCCCATCTGGGTTCAGGAATATGTAGCAGCTTCTGTGAAACATTGTGTACATTGACAAATGATCAGCTTATATATAACATAGGTGCACAGTTACCATGTATTGTTTGGGGCTTCACAATCGGCAATAGCCTTATCTTACTTACGTGTTTATTTCAAATCTCTAATATTAAACTCACAAAGGTACAACAAACCAAATACATGTTTCACAGATTGCATGTGTTAAACTACAAAGAGAAAAGATAAATTTCAATTTAAATAATAATGATTTTGATCATTCCGTGTCCATGACATTTAAACAATGGGAGAGGTCTCAGAAATAGGTGAAATTAAATGTGATATCTGCTCTTTTCATGAAAACTCAAATAAAGACTGGACGCAATAGGGAAATATACCTAGAGGAGACAAAAACAAAACATCTGGAATCTTAAACATTCCCACAACAAACTAACAGAAAGGGTATGTGGCAATTCTGAGTAATTACTTTGTGACCTTACCTACAAACAACACACAATGCACGGACTGCAACTCACAAGATTTCTTAAACAAGAATATAATGCATTTCTGATGACCAGAAACAAACATACCAGGCAATAAGAGGGAAGGCACTAAATGGTATATATAAACATAGCTATATCACAAATATAGCAAAGAACATACGACACTGGTAAGGAATCATTACAAAAACAATATCCCATGTTCTATCTCTCAATCATAGAGTAGAGCAACAATCTTAAAACTATAGCTTACACTTGACCGCATTGCACAAAATTACTGACACAACATCAACTATTATACAGTAGCATAGAACACACTTGAAGGATGTAAGCATGTTTCAGCTATACGGTGAATAATAAGCAGATGTTTACATGCAAATAGTTTCACTGTGCATGGTGTATTGTTGACACATGTACTCTACCCAGTGGGGAAATTGCAATGCCATTAAAAAAAACCAACCTTCAGTGAAACACAAGTGTTATAGATACAAACATTTGTTCAGGCAAAGCTGCTTGGACAAACCAGGCATAATATGCAATATTCATACAACAGTGATGCTTGATCTCCTGTACACAGCACTTCAGCATGTTCACAAACACAAATAACAAAATGCTTGTGTATCCTCCCATCTTAGCCTAAAATAATGTCATATGTATGTTAGGCAGTAATATAACTAACACTTATCATTAATTTTAGCACATTCAGTTCTGCATCAAATCCACAAAGATTACTTACCATGTGAATTTAATAAAGGATTTACAAACTGCACCACAGTTTCAAGTCAAAGGGGAACTAATCCTCATTGCTTCAATATGTAGATACTTAGCATGCTTACTATTTTGCTGAGACAATAGCTTCTATCTTCTTGTCAGTCCTAACTGACCATACTGGAAACACACTGAGTTATAGAGCGAGTGAGTTCTACATCACTGTTTACAATATTCCGGCCATACACGGCAGGAAGCTTCAGGCACTGTACCATGTGGAACCCTCATATAATGCTTGATGTATTATTGTTCCACCATACCTCTAACATAGGAAGCACCTAGCATAACTACTTTCTGACACATATTCATTCACAATTACATCTTTGAGTTCAGTGGAAACAAAAGGAACAGCAGGGGGTACATGCATCACGTTTAGTAGCTTATTTGGTAAGGGGGACAATTACATTGATTAGTCTTTAACAAAAATCAACACTTACCTCCCTCACTTTAAGCAACCACTGTTTCAGAAACCTGATGTGAGGTGTATTTTGCTTCAAACTTATTGCAGTTTACCTTTACCTCCACACTGAAAACTTGTGTTAATGGATTAACATGCACTCACTACAAATAATCTTGGTGTCAAACATTGTGTTCTATGAAACAACACAGGGATAACAAAAACATTTAACAGAAATAAAAAAGGAGAAGCAGTTGTGCGACTTATGCCAGCAAACAGGTCTGTGAAACCATACCCCATACTACTTTGGTCATGTATTTCAGTACAGGATAGGTGCTGGATAGCTGGAAAGTCCAAACTTTGAGAAGTGTTTGGAACAAGTTCAACAATCTAATAATAACAAATGTCCACGTACCTATTTACCAAATTACATTTTCAAATATCTGTACAACCTCATAAATTCAATTTGCATTGACTCAGCAGATATTCATATACACACAAACGACTTTCTCAGTGTTCTTGATTTCTCTCTAAAGCAGATGTAAGCTGATTGGTTTGTTGCCTGTCAGATATAAGATCAACCCTGATTGGTTTGATGCCTGTCAGTGGTACAGATATAGTGATTGGTGTGTGATGAAGATGATATTGATCCAGGGGTCTCTCTTTAGTTTTTCTTCTTCTGGGGCCCCCTAGGGGGCGTGATTGGTCGACCCGAGTTTAATCCTCCATACTGGTACTTGGCTTTCTTCTCAGATGGTTTCAATATCTATCAACAAAAAAGCAATTCTTGTATCAGCCTAGTCTGAGAAAAGCTGCAAGTGAGTGAATGATTTGCATCACATTCAGCCATAAACAATTTACAGCAAACTATGTTCATAGCCAACTGACGGACATACTTGTTTTCTCGGCCCAGGAACTAGCTTTTGTGAAATGGGTATAATTTGGTCATGGGCTGAAATCTGGTCCCTCTGAGTTTGTTATAACTGTATCCAACTGTTAACTGCAGCTGTCTGTATATCTATTTGACCAGGGATCCAGATAATATGGCCCAAATATGTTCTGTCTATAAGCCCACATATGTTTTACAGATTGCTTCTGTAAACTTCAGCCTGATTGAAGTACAACAGTGAAAACCGTAAAACCCTTCTTTATACTAGACCTTTGCTTCAGACCTCTTGGCAATAAATCAGCTACTAGGCCAAGCATGAGTTATTGCTATAACAGTGTGGGCTGAATGTGTGCGGGAAGTGACAGATGTTGTAGATACCACCTCTAGAAATATAACAAGCACAGCTAGGATGGATGATATCCTGGGGATCCTACATTTCAACAGATATAGTGCCAGGGCAAATTGCAGCACCTTCGTCGTATGGCCAACTGCATATTGCATGGTACAAAAAAGCAAAGCTCACCTGAAATGAACACATGAGTGTATCGTCTACAGACATCATTCCTCCAGCATTGTCAAACTCTCCACAGTAGTTTGGTGCAGAGAACAATGTAACCAACTGTCGTTTAGCGAAGAATTCGTACCCATCTTCCACCACCTACAACATACAGCAACACTGTATACAACTGATTGCACACATGTCAACTGTTCTGACTTGATATACCCATGAATATAAATGGCAAAAAGTTTCTGTCCTGAGTGAGTGAGTGAGGTTTTACGCCAATTTTAGCAATATTCCAGCAATATCACAGCAGGGGACACCAGAAATGGGCTTCACACATTATATCCGAGTTTTAGGTGCGACAAGACAATGCTTTAACCACTAGGCTTCCCCACTGCCCCTCATGCCAATTGGATACATATCCTGACACAACAAAGCTTTATATTGGGATAGGAGATAATTAATCAACAGATCAAATCACATCAGTAGGTACTAGAATTACTGCTCTTTCTGAATACAACATACAGATTTGTTTGTCTCTACACCTGCAATTTGGTAAGGGACCGTTCATAATTTATGGCTAGAGGGGGTGATGATGATTTTAAGGGGGGATCACCCATTTTGTTCTGGTGAGGTGGGGAGTTTGTCATCAATTTCATACACATGTACTAGGGGGGTCAGTAATTTTGTACATAAAATATATTTTAAAAATGCTTTGAAAGTATGGGAAGGGGAGGGTGAGGGTGGGGGTGTAATGATTTTGTACATGAAATGCAGGGTGTGTGTGTGTGTGTGTGAGTGGGGGTCACTTAGTTTGTACATAACATTTTGAGGGGGCACTCACATTGTACATGCTTCTTCATAATAATCATCATCAACCCCCCTAGCCTTAAATTATCCCTAACAAGGATAACAGAAAACATCTCTGTACCTGATGTGCCCTGCAGATGAGATCCAGATCATGTCGACTTAGGAACTTGCACACAACGTCTGCTCCAAAGGTGAAGGACACACCTCGGTCATTCTCTCCCCAACCTTGAACTTCCTTGTCCGGATCTGACCACAGCAAGTCGCACAACAACCCTGCAACACAAGCAAGAAGACAGTGTCAATGTATAGGAGTTATACCTGTGATAGCACCTCCTGAGAACAAATTCTATGTGTGTAAATACCTTGAGGCAAAAATTAACCTTTAGTATGTATCTTCTGGAACAAATTACTCTCTTTCTAGATCTCAGGACCAGACCACATCATTGAAATGTTGGTCCATGTTAACATGAGAAGTATGGTCTCCATGTACAGGATGTGGGTCTGAGTGTAAGTCTCCATCCTCAGAGGGGGTGTCTGAGTGTAGGTCTCCATGTACAGGATGTGTGTCTGAGCGTAAGTCTCCATGTACAGGATGTGTCTGAGTGTAGGTCTCCATCCTAAGGCTGTGTGTCTGAGTGTAGGTCTCCATCTTCAGGCTGTGTGTCTGAGTGTAGGTCTCCATCTTCAGGCTGTGAGTCTGAGATTAGGTCTCCATCCTAAGGCTGTGTGTCTGAGCATAGGTCTCCATCTTAAGGCTGTGTGTCTGAGTGTAGGTCTCCATCCTCAGGCTGTGTGTCTGAGTGTAGGTCTCCATCTTCAGGCTGTGTGTCTGAGTGTAGGTCTCCATCTTCAGGCTGTGTGTCTGAGTGTAGGTCTCCATCTTCAGGCTGTGTGTCTAAGTGTAGGTCTCCATATTCAGGCTGTGTGCATATAAGTGTAGGTTTCCATCCTCAGGCTGTGTGTTTAAGTGTAGGTCTCCATCCTCAGGGTGTATGTCTCCATGTACAGGATGTGTGTCTCAGCGTAGGTCTCCATGTGCAGGATGTGTCTAAGCATAAGTCTCCAAGTACAGGATGTGTGTCTGAGTATAGGTCTCCATCCTCAGGTTGTTTCTGAGTGTAGGTCTCCATCTTCAGGCCGTGTGTCTGAGATTAGGTCTCCATCCTCAGGCTATGTGTCTGAACGTAGGTCTCCATTTTCAGGCTGTGTGTCTGAGTGTAGGTCTCCATCCTCAGGCTGTGTGTCTGAGTGTAGGTCTCCATCCTCAGGCTGCATGTCTAAGTGTAGGTCTCAATCTTCAGGCTGTGTGAGTAGAAGTGTAGGTCTCCATCCTCAGGCTGTGTGTCTCCATGTACAGGATGTGTGTCTCAGCGTAGGTCTCCATGTGCAGGATGTGTCTGAGCATAGGTCTCCATCCTCAGGATGTGTGTCTGAGTATAGGTCTCCATCCTCAGGTTGTGTTTCTGAGTGTAGGTCTCCATCTTCAGGCTGTGTGTCTGAGTGTAGGTCTCCATCCTCAGGCTGTGTGTCTGAGCGTAGGTCTCCATCTTCAGGCTGTGTGTCTGAGTGTAGGTCTCCATCCTCAGGCTGCGTGTCTAAGTGTAGGTCTCAATCTTCAGGCTGTGTGAGTAGAAGTGTAGGTCTCCATCCTCAGGCTGTGTGTTTAAGTGTAGGTCTCCGTCCTCAGGCTGTGTGTCTGAGAGTAGGTCTCCATCTTCAGGCTGTGTGTCTTGAGTGTAGGTCTCCATGCTCAGGCTGTGTGTTTGAGTGTAGGTCTCCATCCTCAGGCTGTGTGTCTGAGTGTAGGTCTCCATCTTCAGGCTGTGTGTCTTAAGTGTAGGTCTCCATGCTCAGGCTGTGTGTTTAAGTGTAGGTCTCCATCCTCAGGCTGTGTCAGTGCGTAGGTCTCCATCCTCAGGGTGTGTGTCTGAGTGTAGGTCTCCATCTTCAGGCTGTGTGCCGGAGTGTAGGTCTCCATCCTCAGGCTGTGTGTCTGAGTGGAGGTCTCCAACCTCGGGCTGTGTGTCTGAGTGGAGGTCTCCAACCTCAGGCTGTGTGTCTGAGTGTAGGTCTCCATCTTCAGTGTGTGTGTCTGAGTGTAGGTCTCCATGTACAGGATGTATTTCTGAGCGTAGGTCTCCATTCTCAGGGTGTGTCTCAGTGTAGGTCTCCATGTACAGGATGTGTGTCTGAGTGTACGTCTCCATGTTAAGGATGTGTGTCTGAGTGTAGGTCTCTGTGTTCAGGCTGTGTCTGAGTGTAGGTCTCCATCCTCAGGGTGTATGTCTGAGTGCATGTCTCCATGTACAGGATGCGTGTCTGAGTGTAGGTCTCCATGTTCAGGATGTGTGTCTGAGCGTAGGTCTCCATGTACAGGATGTGTGTCTGAGTGTAGGTCTCCATGTTCAGGATGTGTGTCTGAGCGTAGGTCTCCATGTACAGGATGTGTGGTCTGAGTGTAGGACTCCATCCTCAGGGTGTGTGTCTGAGTGTAGGTCTCTGTGTACAGGATGTGTGGTCTGAGTGTAGGTCTCCATGTTCAGGATGTGTGTCTGAGTGTAGGTCTCCATGTACAGGATGTGTGTCTGAGTGTAGGTCTCCATGTACAGGATGTGTGTCTGAGTGTAGGTCTCCATGTACAGGATGTGTGGTCTGAGTGTAGGTCTCCATGTTCAGGATGTGTGTCTGAGTGTAGGTCTCCATGTACAGGATGTGTGGTCTGAGTGTAGGACTCCATCCTCAGGGTGTGTGTCTGAGTGTAGGTCTCCATGTACAGGATGTGTGGTCTGAGTGTAGGTCTCCATGTTCAGGATGTGTGTCTGAGTGTAGGTCTCCATGTACAGGATGTGTGGTCTGAGTGTAGGACTCCATCCTCAGGGTGTGTGTCTGAGTGTAGGTCTCCATGTACAGGGTGTGTGTCTGAGTGTAGGTCTCCATGTTCAGGATGTGTGGTCTGAGTGTAGGTCTCCATGTTCAGGATGTGTGTCTGAGTGTAGGTCTCCATGTGTGGTCAGTGTAGGACTCCATCCTCAGTGTGTCTGAGTGTAGGTCTCCATGTACAGGGTGTGTGTCTGAGTGTAGGTCTCCATGTACAGGATGTGTGTCTGAGTGTAGGTCTCCATGTACAGGATGTGTCTGAGTGTAGGTCTCCATGTACAGGATGTGTGTCTGAGTGTAGGTCTCCATGTACAGGGTGTGTGTCTGAGTGTAGGTCTCCATCCTCAGGGTGTGTGTCTGAGTGTAGTGTGTCTGAGTGTAGTCTCCATCCTCAGGGTGTGTCTCCATGTACAGGGTGTGTGTGTCTGAGTGTAGGTCTCCATCCATGTACAGGATGTGTGTGTCTGAGTGTAGGTCTCCATGTACAGGGTGTGTGTCTGTCTGAGTGTAGGTCTCCATGTACAGGGTGTGTGTCTGAGTGTAGGTCTCCATGTACAGGGTGTGTGTCTGAGTGTAGGACTCCATCCTCAGGGTGTGTGTCTGAGTGTAGGTCTCCATGCTCAGGGTGTGTGTCTGAGTGTAGGTCTCCATGTACAGGGTGTGTGTCTGAGTGTCCATCCTCAGGTGTAGGTCTCCATGTACAGGGTGTGTGTCTGAGTGTAGGTCTCCATCCTCAGGGTGTGTGTGTCTGAGTGTAGGTCTCCATGTACAGGGTGTGTGTCTGAGTGTAGGAGTCTCCATGTACAGGGTGTGTGTCTGAGTGTAGGGTAGGTCTCCATGTACAGGGTGTGTGTCTGAGTGTAGGTCTCCATGTACAGGGTGTGTGTCTGAGTGTAGGTCTCCATGTACAGGGTGTGTGTCTGAGTGTAGGTCTCCATGTACAGGGTGTGTGTCTGAGTGTAGGACTCCATGTACAGGATGTGTGTCTGAGTGTAGGTCTCCATCCTCAGGGTGTGTGTGTCTGAGTGTAGGTCTCCATGTACAGGGTGTGTGTGTCTGAGGGTGTGTGTCTGAGTGTAGGTCTCCATGTACAGGTATGTGTGTGTCTGAGTGTAGGTCTCCATGTACAGGATGTGTGTGTCTGAGTGTAGGTCTCCATGTACAGGATGTGTGTGTCTGAGTGTAGGTCTCCATGTACAGGATGTGTGTCTGAGTGTAGGTCTCCATGTACAGGGTGTGTGTCTGAGTGTAGGTCTCCATGTACAGGGTGTGTGTAGTCTGAGTGTAGGGACTCCATGTACAGGGTGTGTGTGTAGGTCTGAGTGTAGGTCTCCATGTTCAGGATGTGTGTCTGAGTGTAGGTCTCCATGTACAGGGTGTGTGTCTGAGTGTAGGTCTCCATGTACAGGGTGTGTGTCTGAGTGTAGGTCTCCATGTACAGGGTGTGTGTCTGAGTGTAGGTCTCCATGTACAGGATGTGTGTGTGTAGGACTCTGAGTGTAGTGTAGGTCTCCATGTACAGGATGTGTGTCTGAGTGTAGGTCTCCATGTACAGGGTGTGTGTCTGAGTGTAGGTCTCCATGTACAGGGTGTGTGTCTGAGTGTAGGTCTCCATGTACAGGGTGTGTGTCTGAGTGTAGGTCTCCATGTACAGGATGTGTGGTCTGAGTGTAGGTCTCCATCCTACAGGGTGTGTCTGAGTGTAGGTCTCCATGTAGGGTGTGTGGTCTGAGTGTAGGACTCCATGTACAGGGTGTGTGTCTGAGTGTGGTAGGTGTGTGTCTCCATCTCTCAGGGTGTGTGTCTGAGTGTAGGTCTCCATGTACAGGGTGTGTGTCTGAGTGTAGGTCTCCATGTACAGGGTGTGTGTCTGAGTGTAGGTCTCCATGTACAGGGTGTGTGTCTGAGTGTAGGTCTCCATGTACAGGGTGTGTGTCTGAGTGTAGGACTCCATGTCAGGGTGTGTGTCTGAGTGTAGGTCTCCATCCTCAGGGTGTGTGTCTGAGTGTAGGAGTGTGGGTGTGTGTCTGAGTGTAGGACTCCATCCTCAGGGTGTGTGTCTGAGTGTAGGTCTCCATGTACAGGGTGTGTGTCTGAGTGTAGGTCTCCATGTACAGGGTGTGTGTCTGAGTGTAGGTCTCCATGTACAGGGTGTGTGTCTGAGTGTAGGTCTCCATGTACAGGGTGTGTGTCTGAGTGTAGGTCTCCATCCTCAGGGTGTGTGTCTGAGTGTAGGACTCCATGTACAGGGTGTGTGTCTGAGTGTAGGTCTCCATGTACAGGGTGTGTGTCTGAGTGTAGGTCTCCATGTACAGGGTGTGTGTCTGAGTGTAGGTCTCCATGTACAGGGTGTGTGTCTGAGTGTAGGTCTCCATGTACAGGGTGTGTGTCTGAGTGTAGGTCTCCATGTACAGGGTGTGTGTCTGAGTGTAGGTCTCCATGTCAGGGTGTGTGTCTGAGTGTAGGTCTCCATGTGTCTGAGTGTAGGTCTCAGGGTGTGTGTCTGAGTGTAGGTCTCCATGTACAGGGTGTGTGTCTGAGTGTAGGTCTCCATGTTCAGGGTGTGTGTCTGAGTGTAGGACTCCATCCTCAGGGTGTGTGTCTGAGTGTAGGTCTCCATGTACAGGGTGTGTGTGTCTGAGTGTAGGTCTCCATGTTCAGGGTGTGTGTCTGAGTGTAGGTCTCCATGTACAGGGTGTGTGTCTGAGTGTAGGTCTCCATGTGTGTCCTCAGGGTGTGTGTCTGAGTGTAGGTCTCCATGTACAGGGTGTGTGTCTGAGTAGGTCTCCATGTGTGTGTCTGAGTGTAGGTACAGGGTGTCTCCATGTAGGTCTCAGGGATGTGTGTGTGTCTCCAGTGTAGGTGTAGGTCTCCATCCTCAGGGTGTGTGTCTGAGTGTAGGTCTCCATGTACAGGGTGTGTGTCTGAGTGTAGGTCTCTGTGCGGGTCTGAACATCTGCAACTGCCCACCTGTGTCAGGGACATCTGTTGGTCTCATGATACGCCGGATTTGTTCCATGGACTGCAGATCAGGGGACAAACCTGGCAATACAATAGTTGCCATGGTTACATGTCAATATAGGTAATGTGATTTGCATTTTATTCTTGTTCATGTGTTTATCATGTTTATGTCAACTATATTCAGAAAATATTTTCAGTAACATTTGGTAGATTAAGTGCATAACATTCAACTTTGAGCCTCATAATATGCCAATTGTTTCAGTTGTTTCACATCAACCACAGTATTTGAACAAAATTTCCTGTCAACATTAAGAAATACATACATGCCAAAATTCACATTCCTCAGTTTGGTATCACAAAAGAAAATTAGCAGTTTGAGGGAATTTAACCCAACTACATTATATACTGAGTTAAAATTTCGGAACAATGGTCATTAATACTATATATGACCACTGTTCAGAAATTTCAGCTCTGTATATAATGAATAAATAGGTAATATAAGGTCAAAATTGTGAAATACTACAAAATGGTACACATGTTTAGCCCCACTGCTAACTACACAGACACCATCATTCCAAATTTCATTCAACTTTGACATGGATGTGACAATGAGAGGAAACAATCTGAAGCACTGAGAAATACAGAAACCAAAGACGTATGAATATATGTGTTTGCAGAAACTAATAGACTGGTAACACTACAAGCAACAAATGTAACAGATTTCATAACATTTGGAGTGAATATACCAGCCATAAACTAGATATTGCTCTACTTCTGGCAACGCACAACAAGAAGGTAATGACATAAGCCGACCAGACTTGGTTCTCTGTGGAAGACGACAACCTATCTATGTTTTAATACAAGACAATTCAGTCATTAGATAATTACATATAGTATTATGGGATATAGATATTAATTACCAACAATAACAAGCACACACACCTCCATGGCAACAGAAGATCTTCTCATCAATAATGGCTGCAATGGGTAGACAGTTGAAGCAGTCTGTAAATGTTTTCCACAGTTTCACATTGAATCGTCTTTTACCTACAAGTCACACAAAAAATGAAAATCCATCAATTCTTTTCACATTCAATGCAATCTAACAACATTCTGATCCATGTTGATCAAGATTCTCATATATTGCTTGTATTTTTTGCAGTGGCTATAAAGTACCATTCCAGGTGAAAGTGCAAGAGTTTATGATCCTTCAGGCAGGGTCTCACATGACACAGAAATCTGCGACCAATGCACTCAAATGAGTAGAACGGATACAGAAAACAGAACCTGTTGCATCCCGAGAGATGCAGCATAACATTCAATGTTTAAATGTTTTTACATGAAATAGAAACATCCTCCAGTTAAAGTAAGTATCAAGTATTACACTAGAGCACATGACACCATTTCAATTAGAGGAACTTCATATTTCCTTAAGATTCTTTCTTTCTAAGAATATTGGAAATTTTAACTATAAATTGAATATTTATATACTTATCCTATCTCACGATTTGCACTTCTCTCTCTTGCTTCGACGCTGAGTGGAACGCATTAGAACTTTCTCTGTAGGCCTCTCTTATCCATATGCCCGTGTTCCCCAGGCTGCTTTCCTTATAGGACAGGTCCCTGGTCCCATGCTGAGCATGCAGCATGCTCCCCAATCTACCCACGTGACTACCTCACAGTGATCATTCTCTTCTTGGAGCAAATGACAGTTATCTGTAACCGCCGTAAACTGAGTAGCGGGCAGGTTGGGCGGGCATACATCGCGTGAGATAGGATAAGTATATAAATATACAATTTGTAGTTAAAATTTCCAAATTTTTAAACTTATCCTATCTCACGATTTGCTCTTATCCCACGGTTGGACAGCGGGTCGCAGATTACTCTAAGTAAAAAAACACTGACAGTGTACACTGTATAGGCTAATGACAACCGTAGTTAGCAATGAACAAGGAAGGCCGGATCCGACTAGCATAGTACCTATACTAGTGATGGGTTCTCCTGAACCCCTTGGCTTACTAGGCACAATCGCTTCCAAGGAGTGGGTGCTCCCGAGCGATGTGGTGTTCGGCCACAGGATCCGACCAGTATAGTACCTTTACTAGTGATGGGTTTTCCTGAACCCCTTGGCTTACTAGGCACAATCGCTCCCAAGGAGTGGGTGCTCCCGAGCGATGTGGTGTTTGACCGCAACCCTCGCATACGCAAGGGGACGCAACTAGGTGAGTCACATCACTTCGTCACGATTTATCAGAGTACCCCCGTAATTAAAGTATTACGACTAATAATCGGGCCTGCACCTGCTTCGAGACAGCCCCCCAGACCCCATCGCGAAGAGGGGTAAAAAGAAACTGAATCGGAAAGCTCACAAGTTTAACGTTCAGTACCAGAACACCACCACATGGCTTGCACTACTTACCACAGTGAGACCACAACGGTGTGCTAAGGTACTTAGGAGCTAGAACGCTACGAAATCAACAAAGGAAATCAGGAAGGAATCACTACATTGACGTGATTGCTCCGTGGAGTAGAGGTCAGCAAGCGAGATTGTCAAACACTTCTGCATCGCAAATACGAGAACTAACCACTGTAGATCCGTATAGACACTAATTGCAATAACCCAATAAAATTGAGTGAAGAGTTCTAATCCCAGAAGAATCGAGAACAAAAATCAGAAATAAAATTCAGAATTTTATTCAGTATGTACACGAGAGCGAATGCATAGACGCGCACACTGTACTCATCTGCGTTAATGGGCCGACGACAGCTGCTGTGCCAAGGCAAGGGGTCCAAACTGATGCAGACCCTGGATGTCAGTGACCAATAAGTCCCTCAGATAATGTGAGGAAAACACTGTATCCGAACGCCAAAAGCAACCCTCCATGATGGCCGTCAGGGAAGAGTTGCTGTGTAAAGCCATCGTAGAGGCTAACGCCCAAGTCTCATGTGGATTGGATGCCGCTGGGGGTGGCAGTCCAGCAAAGACGTACGCCCTCAGTATGGTAGCACGCATCCAAAAGGACAAAGTTGTCTGTGAGACCTCAGCCTTGGATGTAGTACACAGTGGGATGAATAGCCTCTTACGAAGATGGCGGCGCTCTTGGGAGGCAGCTAGGAAGATCCGCAGAGCTCTGACAGGGCAGAGAGACAAATCTTCAACATCATCTGGCCCAAGAATGGTTGACAACGGTGGGAAAGTAAACATTCTATCCGGTTGTCCTGGTAACTGGTTCTTTGCGACAAAGTCCCAACGCAGTCCCAAAAAACTCTGCCAGGACGTTTTTGCTCAAAATGCACACGATTCACATCCAGTGCATGTAACTCCAAAATACGAGCTGCAGTAGCTAATGATATTAGAAAGATACCTGATCACTGGATACCAAGTGACGAAGGACAACTGAAATATTCCATGCAGGAGGTCTGAACCTCCTAGACTGGTCAGCAAGTCTGAACGAACGAAGCAGATACTGGAGCTCGGGAGTAGTAGACACCTTGGTTCCAGTAGTTGTGGCAAGACCAAATTAATGGCAGCCAAATAGGTTGACAATGTAGTACCTTTGAGTTTCTTCGTAGCCCGTAAATGCTGTAGAAATTCTGCAACAACCTGAGGTGATGCAGTGGTGGGAGAGTTAATTCTCCTAACCCCACAATAATGTTCAAATTTCTTCCATTTATCATCATACAACGATCAGGTCGATGTCCTATGCGCAGATGTTATAGCTGTAGCTACTCTGAGAGAGCAACCCTTCACTATCAGAGATTTCTGCAAATGCGTCATATGTGCAGATTGAGGGTTTGTGATGACCCGTGGCACACGTCCGAATGTGGATGACGAAGAAGGTCGTTTTGGGCGGGTAGCGGTACTGGATTCGGTTCTGCTAGCTTTCTTAGGCCGATGAACCAGCTTCTCGCTGGCCAAAAGGGCGCAACCAACAGCAGACGAATCTTGCTGGTTGCAAGCAACTTTTGAACTACCTTGGGTAGCAGAGCCGGGGGAGGAAATGCGTAACCAGATGTCTGGTCGTGATACCGGGTAGATCATCGACTGGAATATCAGGGGCAGTAACTTCCACTCTGTCGGTGATGGCTGTTTAAGGCATGACAGGGCGTCGGCTATGACATTCCTCGCCTTGGGAATGTGTCGGGCTCTGGCCATAATGTTGAGAGAGTCGATTAGATGGTAAAATTGAAACGTCCATGGGAGCAGAGCTGCCAAAACTGTCGAGCCTTGATGATTGATGTACCATACTACTGTCGAGTTGTCTGATTGAATCAGTAGATTCGACCGAATGCTAAATGGCGAGAATGACAGCACTGAATTCCAACTCGTTGATGTGAAGGGCCTTTTCTGCGGATGACCACTGCCCGGCCACTTGATGATGAAGAAAGTGGGCGCCCCAGCCCTCTAGGGATGCGTCGACAAACAGGTGTGAAGGGTACCATAGAGACTCCGGCGCAAACATTCTGCTCGTCGAGCCACCAACGAAGAACTGGTCGTAGTTGCACGGGAAGACGAATCAACTCCCTGGGGTTGTCGGTCCGGATGTACAGGCACAAAAACATCTGAAGAGGGAGAAGTTGCAGTTGGCCCCTGTAAGTCAGTGCTTGTGCCGACGTCAGTAACCCTAGTAACTCCGTCCACTGGTGCAGAGTTCTGGGTGAGCTTAATGCTGAAGGTAGAATGTCCCATCTGTCCTGGGGTACAAACAACATGGCCTGTTGTGTTTCGCCCCTATAAATTGTAATCTCCGAGTCAGTATTAACTCAGACTTCTCGTAGTTCAGGAGCCACCCTAATTGTGTTAGCATCTTGATGGTGAACTGCCTGTGGAGATGAAGGACGTCTGGATCCTTTTGAGCTTGAACACAGTCGTCGATATAGCTTTCGAAAGTGATTCACCGACAATGCAGGTAGCTTGTTATCGGTTTGGTTACCCGAGTAAAAAGCGATGGGGGCCGTAGATATTCCAAACGGCTGTACCCTCCACTGGTAATGACGCCCTTGGAACGTGAACCGAAGATCCTTCTGGTGGTCTGGATATATTGGTATGTGAAGATAGGCAGGTCAAGGGAAATGAGATAGTCCCCTTTCTTCAAGATGGTGCGTAGAAGGTTGACTGACACCATCCGAAAGTGGGGTGGTGGAGATAGAAACAGGGCATTGAACTGTTTCATGTTGAATTGAGGATGGTCGAAACGTACGGGCCTCCGAGAATGTCCCAATTGGGAGCAAACTTTCCTAATCTCCCGCCCACCGGTGAGTCGAAGATCGGGATGATTGGGGGTGGGATATTGGTATGTGAAGATAGGCAGGTCAAGGGAAATGAGATAGTCCCCTTTCTTCAAGATGGTGCGTAGAAGGTTGACTGACACCATCCGAAAGTGGGGTGGTGGAGATAGAAACAGGGCATTGAACTGTTTCATGTTGAATTGAGGAAGGTCGAAACGTACGGGCCTCCGAGAATGTCCCAATTGGGAGCAAACTTTCCTAATCTCCCGCCCACCGGTGAGTCGAAGATCGGGATGATTGGGGGTGGTAGGACCAAGTCGGGCAGCAATCTCTGTGAGTCACTGCTTGGAGGAGCCACTTCCGGTATCAGGACCGGGGGTGGGGGTGGGGGTGGGGCGTGGGTGGGGGTGAGGGGGTGGGGGGTGAGGTGTGGGTGTGTGTGTGTGTGTGTGTGTGTGACAGAAGACGCCACCACAGGAAGGTTTTCTACCCCTGTTCCGCGATTGGGTGAAGGGTCTGTCACGAAAACAATCCTTCAACTCCGGGTTGGTTGGAGAAAAACGTGGTGTTCTGCGTTGTTTAATGGAACTCTGCAGCTGAGATTTCTGCACTTTCAGTAATTCAACAGAAACCTGAAAATGAGTCTCCTGATGCACCTATTTAGAAACCTCTCCAATATTGCCACCAAAAAGCATATCTGAGGACCAAGGCTGCCTCAACAATTCAGCTTTGAATCAGTCATCCCAAGACGAAATGTTGAGGGGACCTCTCCTACGCACCGCAAGTATGTAACCCCTGTTAAGTTAATAGTTGATAAGTCTCTATTCTTAAGTGCATAAGAGACATTAAGGTCATCCGGGAATCAGCTCACCAGTAGTTGCAGCTTTTCAACAATCTAGGCAAGTACATGTGAAGGCTTTACCAAATCGAAACTACCCTCTGGAGTAGAAATATCCTAGTTATTTGAAGAGCAGGACGAAGACTGATGAGACACACCAGAGGAGGTGAGGTGAGGTGAGGTGAAATTAGGTTTAACGTCGTGCTTGAGAATATTTCACTCATATGACGATGTGCATGCGTGTGTATGTGTGTGTGCGGCTGCTTGTACTAGCCCAGACTTAAGCTGGTTTTATAGTGCTAGCCCACTGAGATACCATGCCGCAGGGAAGCATGAATACCCCACTCAGACACATTATACTGACTCCAAGCCGACCAGTTCTTGTTGTACCCATTAATGCCGAGCGCCAGGCAGGGACCAACAAGTACCATATTTTAACGTCTTTTGGTATGATGCAGTCGGGGATCGAACCCGTGACATCCGCTCTCCGGGTGGACGCTCTAACCACTACACCATGGAGGCGGTCCACACCAGAGGAAGACTGGTTACCAGTCGATGCAAAGGGAACTGAATTTGAAGTAGACGAAGGTTGGCACTGATTCCATGCTACTGTAATAGCCCGAAGCATTGTATTTAAGTCTGGCCCCTGAGAAGAATCCTGGGTAGGGTTCCATGATTCAGGTAAAATAGTCGCCCCAGTAGTATGAACCGAAGAATCAGTATGACGTGAGGGATCGACGATCCAAGGAACCATACCTGCGCCTAGGCAGGGAGCGAATCGGTGAAATCAAACGAACCGCAGCTTGCTGTCGTGTCGGGGAGGCAAAAGGATGGGATGACTAAACTGGATTTGGAGATCTAGATCGATTAGAAGAGCCTGGCACACCATCCCGATGGGATGACCTAGAGCGAACAGGTGAACCTGAACGCCACAGTGATCTAGTCCGGGAAGAACTCCCAGAACGAATATGTGAACCACTTCAATCTGATAAAGTAGTTAAGTGGCGTGAACCGGAAAGAGCAGACAAACCAAATCGGTGAGGTGAAACGGTTCGGGTAGACGAATTGATTCGAACCCGTGAATCAATTCGCCCAGAAGTCGTGGTTCGAGAAAACGCTTCAGAATGACTAGGTGAAACCGGACGGTGAACTGAACTGGTTCGGTGACATGAACCATCACGAAAAGGTGAACCTATCCGTTCACGCGTCAATTGATTCAACGTGGTGAATTGATTCAGTCTGGGGAATCAGTTCGCTGGCCCGAATCCAAATGGAAGGGAGTGCCGAAACCACTATGCGAATCAATACATGATTCGGTACGATCATTAGAAACAGATCGACGATAAGTACCGTTCCGCTGGGGTGAACATGACCGCTCAATCGATCTACAATTGGATTCGAGACAAACCCATGAGCTGATCTCAAACGACTAGCAGAACTGGAACGTTCCTATGAGATGGATCGATGAATCGAACGGGATCGTCTAGGATGACTTGGAGAAACGGACTCATTCTGTAACGCAGGTGATGCAGATTGATGAACTGAAGCGACTGTAGTCACGGTCTGAGATGAACCAGAGGCCCTAGAAACCAAGAGTGTAGACCGCAGGTCAGGGGGGAGGTTGTAGACACTAGAGGTTTATCAACCACAACTACCCTACTAGAACGAGAGATATGAATCTGAAGAAGCGTCGAAAATATCCTCCGCCTCGGAGGGTGGGATTTCAAATGACGAGCCGTGAGGGTGGGACGCTCCAGGCATGGTTTCTTAGTCGGGGAGGGGCCTTGGTCAACAGAGGTATTCCTAGCCCTATCTGCAATTCTACGAGCACAGACCTGTTTATAAGCCTTGAAATCCTCAGTAGATAACCCTGCACATTTCTCACACCGTTTCTCCCATGAACATTGACCCACACAATCAACACACGAAATGTGTGGGTCCCAAGTCGAATATATTGTGTTACACTGAGCGCAAAACTTACGCTTTTTATTTGGAGGATCTGATTTCCCCATAATACAAAAAGCAACTCAAAACTCTATGACAAGAGCTATAACGTGTCCACTCTGTCGTGCGACAAGCAGAAGAATGATCACTCTGGGGTAGTCACGTGGGTAGATAGGGGAGCATGCTGCATGCTCAGCATGGGACCAGGGACCTGTCCTATAAGGATTGCAGCCTGGGGAACACGAGCGTATGGACAAGAGAGGCCTACAGGGAAAGTTCTAATTCGTCCACTCAGCGTTGAAGCAAGAGAGAGAAGTGCAAATCGTGAGATAGGATAAGTTTAAAAATAAGAGAACATTCGAGAACAACATAATCTTCTTCAAAACAATTAACCAAATGTATGCTTCATGAATCCACAAGTATGACAGTAGATGTAATCAAATATCCTCAGGATCACAGGACCTTGTAACTTTTAAGTAGTCGATTGTGATAAAAGACCCTACTAGAAGAACTTATAGGTCATGGCAGAAAATGGCCATTTGGGCTTTGACCAGCCAATGAATAACAGCCACAATAGCAGTGCATGACGGACGGTCTGAATTTACAGCTAGCCAGCCCAATGGTCTGGTAAATTTTTTTTAAATGTTCCATACATCTGAGTAAATTCGCCATATTTGGTCTGGTTAAATCCATCTGATATCTGGCTGGATTTTTGGCTTATTTCATACACTGCCACTAGTCAAATTATCCAATTGCTGTCCCACCCTCAGTTGGTCTGCTAGCAGTTCATTTACTGCATTACGAGTTGTATGACGACAAAACTTTATCTGGACCACACCATTGAAAGCCTGTTCCGATGTTCTTTAACCATTTGTTTTTCAAGTCGTTTGGTTTCCTTGGCAAACATACGCCCAAAGTCATGATGACTTCTACAGTAGCTGTACAGTGTGTACAATAATGTACAAATAAACAAAATCATCATCATTATGTATATAGATCATGGGTATCAATGATATATATAGTATATAAATACTTACATTCATCGTAGAAGCCATAAATACGGTTGATACTGGCGCACTCGTGATTCCCTCGGAGAAGAAAAAAGTTCTCAGGATATTTGATTTTGTATGCTAACAAGAGACATATGGTTTCTAAAGATTGTTTGCCACGGTCAACATAGTCTCCAAGAAATAAGTAGTTAGATTCTGGTGGGAAACCTCCGTATTCAAACAACCGAAGCAGATCTGTGTACTGGCCATGGATGTCACCTGGAACAGCAAGACATCAACAACTCATTAATGCTGCCAACAAAATGATGATACATCAATATGATCCAGTAGTAAACGTTTACTGGAGCTGTAACAATTCACACTAAATACTTGTACTTTTCTCACAAACATCTTCTCATTATCATCTGATCTCTCACTGTTGTGAAATTAATATCTGCCAGAAAAAGCATATTCAAATGATAGGTTACATCAACAACTGCTGACTTACATATATAGTCTCAAGTGCTGTAACACAAAAGTGAATATCCTAGAAACAAAAAGCATGCATGTGATCAGCTTGTTATCTGCAAAAAGCATAGCCATGTCTGCAGTACCAATGGTCTGCAAGAGGCTGTCATTATTTAACAGTTAACACATAAATTGTACAGAAAGATAAAGAAATTAAACTAAACTGGCCTTGCTTGTACAGCTTACAATAAACACACACATATTTGAGTTTATTTTGTTTGTGGGGTACAGATAAGACATGTGAAATTTAGATGGCCGGGGTGTTTCAGAGATGACATATCCTTCCCAGACTGGTGGGAATACGGAGATGGAGCTGGCTAGTTACACCTCATTGTTAACTCATTGCCCTTGGATACCTTCAGTTCAGCATGGTTCAGCATGTTCAGAGAGAAAAAAGGAAAAGATTGTTCAGCATTTTTTCAAAATCCCAAATTATCAAAATGCAACTATTCAATTATACTAGACTGAACTGTATAGCAAGTTTCCCAAGGACCATTTAATGCTACAGGAGTGCTGCTCTGGAAATGGGAAATAGAAGGTAAACAGAAGGATCTTCATATGCTCTCCCCCGCCAAGCCCACCCCCATTTTTCTCAGCTTGGGTATAACAAATCTATAACATAAACCACTTATCTGAAATAAGCCACAGAGTAGGTGCAGTTGTTAGAAATAACACATTGTGTCTTGCTCTGTAGCATGTGTAAGGTTGGCTCCTGGGCCTACTTATTAGCAAGTCCATAGTGGTCAGCCTATATCCCCGTTTGGGCAATTTTCCATTATATCATGGTGTAATTGTATTCCAGACACCAGCATTGTCCTTGAGCCACTCTATCGGTTCCAAATCGCACATTCTGTCCCTGGCATTAAGCAGATTAACTGATTAGACAACACTGTTATCTACATTCACAAGTGAGCTAAAAGCTCAACATTACACAATAGATTTATAGGAATAGCTTTTGTCATGATTAACGGATCATTAGACTTTGATAATGCAGCATCCAAAATAACATGAAGCAGCATCAACGACATTGCACTTCAAAAGATTGAAGAGTTGGTGAACATCACCACATTCTCACACGAGAGTACAAAAGAAGTCACAGAAGTAAATACTTTGCCCTCTTATTGCCATATCTTGTATGATGTTCCCCAAAGTAACTTAAAACAATAGATCACACTGTGGAATGATTGTTGTGACCTACAAGTTCAGGGAACACACACTTTACAGGTCAAAACAGATTAATGGCTGATATTTTACAAGCCCAATATGGCAAACACTGTTATACATGCAATAGCTTCGGGTCAACAGAAAATTGCACATACACAATATAGCACTCGACACCATGACAAAAGTCATTCATGTATCATACAGTTTATGTATCTCTACATAGAATACATTTGTATGAGAAGTTTTACATTACAGAAACCATTCATACGATCTACACAATTCAAATGAATGGTGACACTGACATCCCTGTTGGTGACAACATGGTTTTCAATGCTGACATTTGTACAATTATATAAATTGAATACAAGCATCTTTTCAAAGAACTGGACCAAGGATAACCCCTTGTAAGTTATATCAGAGAACTTGGCACTTGGTTTGCCATACAGACAGATATATGACCCTTTCAATACAGGACGGACAAAGGTAGGGTCCATGACAAGCAGGAAAGGTGGAGAAAAGTATTACCAGATAGTCATCACAAATGGGTTATACTAGTCTGTCTCACAGTCCCTGAACCACATTATGTTCCCTAATGCCAAGCCCTCTCTGCAGTGCTAAAGCCCTAAATAAAGCAAGTCTAGATTTCCTCAGGTTCAGGTTAATCTCTGGTCTCCCTGGGGCTCCTTTTCAATTTAAATGGGCTTGTTTGTTACTAAAAAAATTATATATATTCAGAGACTAAGCATTAGTCTAGGGTTATACCAAAGAGCAGCTTATACATTACATAGTCAACAGAAAAGTAAAATTCCTCCAATTTATACAACCCTGGCTGAAATTCAAGGTTTACACATATCCTATACTCCACTGGTGCCTGCCTTAATAGAACTGGGGTTCAATATACTACATGGCAAGCATGGTGACAACTGGGCAATGTTTAATGAAAGTTCTATTTCCTCTTCATTAAAAGGTGAACTGTTAGGGTTTAGTAGCGAGAGACGACACAAAATGAAGTACTCCATGAATAAAAGCATAACTTTGTGTAATGTGTAAGTTAAAACTGTATTTCAAAGCAATAGTTTATGTATATTATCATCTATGACACAATTTTCATATTGATAATCATTACTAATTCTTCTCATCAAAGCTATTTCCGATTATTAATCTGTTTTGCCAGCCCTAGTGATGGATATACAATACACAGTAGACTGACTGACTGACTGAGTTTGGTTTTACGCCGCTTTTAGCAATATTCATACACAGTAGAAATACTACTGCAAGGGTGGGGTGATATTTGTCAGGTGAACCCTGTTATTTTTCATTCTATGACAGTTACAACTCACATTTCAGGGAATCAAGCATCCTCTGTCCTCATGTTACCAGCAACATATGGTCAGGTGAGATGAAGAACATGTCACAGGCTATTTCAGCTTTGTCATTATTGGTAATATGTTTGCACTAAATCTCATATTTTCATATGGAACTTGTAAGAACCCATAAAAAAGTACCAATAACACAATACTGGTGCCATGTGTCAGCAAAATGACACAAACTGACATTTAATGTTGTTTTCCAACTATGTAAACACATCAACTGAATAATGCTCACATTTTCGATTTCTTTTGAGTTCCATGAATACTGATGTCCTCAGAACCTTTAAAAAGTTACTGACTTTAAGATATGAGTCCAAGTCAAACCTGCTGTACAATTTGTTGAAGCAACCCTGCACTAGCCACAGAAGACCATGCTGATATGAGGTGCGGATTTCAGTGCAATTACAGTAAGAACCTCATACAAACAAGGATATGCACAACTGACAACTTAACTTACCACATATTTTAAGAGGAGCCTCCAATTCCAATAGGATTGGCTGACTGAGGAATATCTCTCTTGACTTGAGACACAGGCCACGCACTTCCGCTTCTGTCATCTGTACAGTCTTGCCTGGCCGACATCCTCGCACTATACACAAGTAGAATCATTGTAAAGAGGCCTACATGATAAAGCAATGCTCAGTTTTTTAGCTGAGAACTATGCAAATAAGAAACTAACAGACAGAAACTTAAACCCTAAGAATGGTGAGATCAAAACATGGCGAACTTTCTTCTTTCCAAAATTATTGATTCATAAGGACCATGAACATGATGAAATTATTTCTTTTTCCCTGTCTTCTGAGACAAATATGAAAAAAGAAATGATTCTATGAACAGTACGAGTGAGCATGTGTTCACGCCATTTCCACCATTATAGCAATATTACAAGAAGTCCTGGGACACCAGAAATGGGCTTCACTCATGGTACTGGCTAGTGAACAGTTATCGCCGCGTAACAGTTATCACCAAGACATCAGTATTACACATGCGCAGATCCGGTCAATTACTATTCTGGTATTTTTTCCTCAAGGTATTTGACAACAGTAAAGAACAGCAAATGAAAATTCTTCACGGCAAGTAACATAAGGGAAAAATTCAAGATAAAGTTATGAAACCTATGAAGATTTTTAACTGAATGATTTCTGTTTCATTAATTTAACGAACAGCACAGTAATTTTGTAAATACCGCTAAAATATGGCGATAACTGTTCGGTAGCCAGTACCTATATGGGGAACTGTACCTAGGCAAATGCATAAATCACTAGGCTACCCCCCAGTCCCTTCTACTTAGAGAAATACCATACAACAGGTATACAAGAAGTTACTGTACATGACATATACAACAGAACACTGAAACCCTCAGTACTCATGCTCATGACCAAGGTGGCATTTGGAGCCATTGCTGTAATCTTGCCTAACCACAGCAACTGTTCAGCATGTACAAGCAGACCCATCAGATCTTTCCAAAATCATGTCAGGATTAAGAGAACATAACCTGATACATGCATCATAAAACACATGGAGTCTACATAGTTATGTGACAGTTACATTCATATATTTATCACGTTTATCCCGGTCTCCTGACACTGTCAAGTATGGCATAATAATTTTTAGTCGTTAAATCATGTACTTCCAAAACATTTAACAGTAAAACTAAATCATTTCTTAAACATGTTCGAAGTGGTGCGATGGCAATATTTGACATTGACGTGCCAGGTCTGTTACGAATACACATGTTGTTAACACACTCACATACACACACACTGCATATCACATGTTGTACAACAGCTGCGCTAGATGTACACGAAGCGACTCAGAATGACGAACAGACATCCCACACTGTGGCGAGTAAGGAATGTTTTTCCTTACGATTCTTAGCTTAGTTCCGGAACTTGAAAGTTGAACCAAAACACAAAATGTCAAAACAAATCGTATTTTGCTGACTCAGAAAAGTTACAAAACGAACATAAATTTATACTCTGGGTGAAAACCGTGCATTGGCTACACACAAACTGCAGCTCTTATATATTAAATAGCATATTCAGGTACTCACCTTCGAGTAGTCGAGCTATCAAACTATCGACATTTAGATCCCCGTCCGCCATTTTCACTCGCTGATGACGTCAGAGACTGGTCCCGAAAGGAAACCTGAAAAAGACACAGAAAAGGATAAAACATGCAGTACTGTAACTATCAATGAAAGGGAGGTAATTTCAGAAATACGTATGTATATTGTACACCGGTATTATATAGCGCTAGTTCAGTTCTGTCCCTTTGTATATTGGTAAAGGTTTACAAGATTATTGAAATTAATGTGTCGTTTTCAGGTTTATGAATACCTTGCGTGTGTTTCGTAAGTAGGCTAATCGCTTTTGGATTTAATGGGTGTAACATTTTAGGATTGGGAAAGTTTCACGTAAAAGTTGGTATGTTCACTTTTTTGTTGTGGGTTATTTTGATCATGTGGTGCCTGTGTGTTTGTGTTTGCGCTAAGTGCTTGCTATTTTGCTACGGGAGATGTTGGGCGGTTGGGGAATGGGTGTTTTCTCACTCGTCGAGACCATCGACGTGCTTGACAGTACAATAATTTGTCTCCATTCAACCTATTCTAAATGAATGGACATAGAAACATGTAACTAACTAACTAACAAATAAAGACTACAACAACTTTGGAATTATAATAGATCACAATGAACGAAACATCCCTTAAATTGATCGAAAGCGTCGAACAATATTTTTTTTAAAAGTGATAAATGAATAAAAGAATTTGGACCCAATGGTGGGTAAAGTCGTCACACAACAATCGGCACCGACACGGCAACGTACTTAAACAAATAAAAGTCACTCGAAAGGTCGAAAAACAAGTAAAAATGATTTTCCAAATCAGAAATCGAGTCCCTGTGTGAGTGTACGTCTTGCTAGCACGGCAGTCGCCCTACGAATGAGCGGTTTGTTACCACAATCCCTTTGGTTGCTATGTCTCATGGTGTATATGCAGTAAATGACGTAGCTCTTCCGCCCCCGGCAGTGTGAGTCAGTTTCCATTTTTGACCACCCTCATATATCACGCGGGTACACTCATGTGGTCATATCACCAACTGCGTGTTGATATCTGTGTCTCTATAAACACAGGTCACAATATATTTAATGCAATGTGTATGTATGTATTTACGTAAATATAATCGTATATCATTTACTTCCTTTTGTTTTTCTTCGTTTTATTGTTCGCCAATAAAAGCAATATGTACAAGGCCGTATTTATTATTGATGCGTCCCCTCAAAGTCCAAACTGCGCAGCGAATTTATAGGTTCGATCCGCTATGCCGATTCAATCGATAGTAAACATTACAGCCACGATAGTATCACCCATCGACACGCTATAGATATTTGTAAACATTAGCATAGTCAACCTTTTGACCGGCATCGCAAACCATACTGAAGTAATAGTTTGGCCATGATGTAACACGGACATATATATTCCCTCATAATGTCATGCAAGTACTCATTTGTCGTCACCATGACTGTTTCGTGTACCCTGGATTACGGGCTGTTATCGTGTATCGAGCAGTTGCCGAGAGAGAGAGAGAGAGAGAGAGAGAGAGAGAGAGAGAGAGAGAGAGAGAGAGAGAGAGAGAGAGGAGAGAGAGAGAGAGAGAGAGAGAGAGAGAGAGAGAGAGAGAGAGAGAGAGAGAGAGAGAGAGAGAGAGAGAGAGAGAGAGAGAGAGAGAGAGAGAGAGAGAGAGAGAGAGAGAGAGAGAGAGAGAGAGTATATCAACACGGGTTGATGTAGTTAGAAATATCCGATACTTAGATGCTTGATTGGCATTTTAGAAGATGATATTTGATGAACATAGAGATTTTTCTGGGTTACATCTTCTTTTTATTCTCGAGTACAACGTTTCAGGGCTTGTTCTGGCCCCATCATCAGGTAAACTGAACAGTAACTGTTAACTCTGGCCGTGACGTCACAATGCTTATGACGTCACAATGCTATGACGAAGCAATACATGTGGTGATCAATAGATACAGATGACATGGCTAATAGAATACATGTTATTATGAATATATAAGATGTCATTTACTGCAAAATTAATGGATCAATTTAGAACTGTGCAGATACTTATACAAAATTGTTGATTGAATTAGAAATGTACAGAGACGTACTTGCCGAGGATATTTTTATATTTATCAACGAGTGTTGATATCAGAAGGACACGAGGGTGAGATTCTCTTGATCATCAAAAATCACTCTTCATTAAGTTTCAATGGAAAATGTACATCTCTAAACATGGTACTGCCATTATATTAGACTTGCAGTGCAGTGAACACGTAGCATTGTGACGTCATCAAGTTTATGACGTCATGGCATTGTCATGGCATCAGTTTTTTTATGTCATAGCATTATGAGTCATGTCATTGATGATGTTAAAGCATTGTGGTCTCATGTAATAGACCGATCCAGTCTGTCAATCAAAACTGGCGCATGCGTCAATTTTGGTCAATCAGCAGGCCGGGCGCGCTGGGTGGATTTGTCAGACTTATTTCCGGGGTCAAACGATACTTCCGAAGCGATGTGCTTCGAATTATGCCATTTACACACGCTATATCTATTACATATTGCTGTGATTTGATGTGTACTTTTTAACAAAACCATTGCGGTCAAGACAAAAGACAATTGAGGCGGATCAAGGAGCGCTATCAGATAATTGTCTGCACCACCGTTCACGAAACCTAGGTCATGCCCGCAGATGAGAATTTGCACGGATTTCCACACTTTTGCACATGTGTGAAATCATTACCAATTGATGACAACAAATAGCAGTTGAAGACTTTGCAAGTGTTATAAACACGGACATTTCTTGTAACTACAAAATTGTTTTTACTTAACGTTTTTAGTCACTACTGGGCATTGAGGTGGTACGCCACAAAGCTGAAATGAGACAGGCAAGAAAGCCGTGACACAATGTAAACACATCTGACAGCGATCTGATTTCGCTTCTAGGGTCGACCATAATAGCAAAACTTGTTACATTAAAGAACAATGTGGCGGATACTGTTCCCTTCGCTCTTAGATATTCTTAAATTTGTCACACATTTTAGGATGTTTTAAGTATCAAAAGCACAATCTGAAGGCATACTGCACAGTATCTTGTTAATAGTGCAAAATATTCGAGGAGTAATATATTTTATTCAAACGAAAATATTGTCAGTGTCAGCAGTTGCCTACCATGCAATATCCAAATATCCAAATTAATTCATATGAGTGCCTATAATACTATGCTTCAAATATTTCAGAATTTTTATAAAGAGATGGATGGGACTTTGAATTGAATTACGTTCCTCCATGTGGATCGAATACGAAAACTATGTGAGAAGAAGAGTGACTTTCTGGAGTATTGGGCGGAGTGAAATAAAGTGTATATCTTAATTATGAGGACATTTGAAGTTTTGTTACAGCATAAACTTATTCACATATATTGGTACATTTTAGGAGCAATATTGCAACTGTCATTTTGATTAATTCACTGGAAATGATAGCAAGGTATGTTTTAAGAATCTTGCTCTTTTTAGTAAATGTGGAAGGGTAATAAAATAAATAATAATCTAATCAATTATAAATAATTATATAATTGATTGACATATCAGATTCATGTGATTTTAAGGCAGAACTAGGCAAACAAACACTATACATATCATGTCAGGACAATCACTTGGTATTAACTTAGATTGTTGGCTCATGCTTTTAGATGTTTTTTAAATTAATAATACATTTACTAATAAGATAATTCTGAAAGTGATTGCTTGTATCATAACTCATTAAAGTTATTTCAACATCCAGAGAATTTGAAAGCAACCCTACGTTTTGGTCACATCCTGGTCAGGCATTATCCAGTCCTGGAACAGAATAACTTACAAAAATCTCAGTTGACTTTTCATGTAATGGAATAAATATTGAAACATATATTTAACCCAGATTTGATGTAATTTTTCCTATAAATCATCAGTTTTGAGGAGGTTACTAATATTTGAAGACTGAGCCAAAGCTAGTGTTTATTAAGATGTTGGTTTTGGACAAATTGTTCAAGGTTTGTTGATGGTTATTTGGAAAATGAGCTTCATATTAAATTGCACACTGAACGCTTTTCATGTGTGTTTTCCTAACCTCTTGCTATGACTTTTAGCAAATTTTGAATCAACCTTACTATAATTTGTATGACACTAGTAAGTATCTCAGAAAAGGAAATAGATCAAAATTTAGAAATGTCCTCTAGGGATATAGTCTCAGATCTAATAAAACAAAGATAATCATTGTTTAAGAAGCAATAATGTCAATATGTATTTGTATTGACAAAAAGCTTTGAACTTAAGATATATTCTTTGCACCTTATTTGCACTAGTAGTTAGCAGTTAAATATCTCTGAATTGTTCGGATAACAGCTAGTAGATCCTCTGTTCAACGATTTTGCATCACAGGTTTCCTATTTCTGGAAGATGGTTCTGCTAGTGTACAGGTGCAGACTGTATCTTGGATCTTCTTTGTGTTCTGGTGCTGTGACATACCTGTACATAAATGCTGGTAGTTCATGAAGTCAAGTATTGTGGAAGTTTGTATGTAAGTTAGGATTCCACAACAAACTACATGTACATACATTGTAATGTATAGAAAAATAAAATGGAAAGAAGGATGGTTTTAAGAAACTTAGGAGTTTTGGATGATAAATAGGCTATATATAACAAACGCAACTCCATATTTTCCCCAGGTTCTGTTTCTCCCATCTCACTCGGACTTTTTCAGTTTAGAAAGAGTGATATATATGTTACTGTCAAAAATACTTTTTCAGATACAACGCGTTTGTCTAAGAAAATATCAGTTCGAAAAGCATCTCACATGGCACACAAAATGGACATGCCTCACTCACTAAAAATGTTCTTACTGTGATGACGATGGATGGAAACTTGCTCGTCACTTTCATTTATGCTCCTTTATAATGTACATGTCGATGGATTCTGTACGGTAGAGCTAACATACAGACAGACGGTCCGATCACGTGGGAGGTAATAACCAGACCCGTTTTACAACCCCTGTCGGGTATATAGCCTCTCGGGGCATTAAGAATATTGATCGATGCAGACCCGGCGGTTTAAGAAATTGGAGTTACGTCCCTTAGTGAGTCGTCTGCTCGTCGGTTTGGCAAGCCTTTTTGTGACAGGGTGATTCCACACACAAAAACGGTGTTGTTTTAAAGTGGCAATGATTGGTGGTGACGCAAGTAGATAGCCGTATACGTCATGTTGCATGCCAATTTTGATAGATGAATGAACATCCACAGTCAGCAAAGAGGTCATAATCAATATTTCACAAGCATCCATGGCTCGTCATTACCGCCACAACCACAACTGTCATTAAAAAATACAATCTTTTATATTTCAGTGATAGGTATTGTAAAACAGCTGTTATCTCACTGGGTGATTCCACACACAAAAAGTGGCAATATCAGCTGATTGGTGGTGACGCAAGTAGGATATTTAATGCCTACATGTTGCATGCCAATTTTGATAGATTTCTTGATCAATAATGAACATCCACAGTCAGCAAAGAGGTTGGAAGTTTTATTTTCATAATCAATATTTCACAAGCATGTCCATGGCTACACACTGTCATTACCGCCACAACCACAACTGTCATTACCTAAGAAATACAATCGGTCCTATCAGTTATATTTCAGTATAGGTATTGTAAAACAGCTGTTATCTCACTGTGTAAGTCATTTCCCATTTCAATTTAATTATGTTTACAGAGAAGAAATGTTACCTAACAAAAGCATGCGTCGAGTTGCTTAGTAGCACATTTAACGTCACACTTACATGTGTGTCTACAAACATTAGTAGCAATGTAGAAAGGTCCATGACTGGG